ATGAAAAGCGTTTGCCTGATTCTTAGGCTGTGACCAATTCCCATGCTTGGGTCACAATTGAGTGTGGAAGCCGTTCATCCAGCGATGCTGTCTATCTCACAGGTAAGGCGATCCCAGAAACTAGCTCATCGTAGGACGCAGCGAACGGTACTGGTGAGCGCCGAAACAATTATGGGGTTATTAAATCGTAGTCATCCATGGATATAGCCACATAAACGAAATACTAAATTTACAGCGAATAACAGGTAAAAAGGTAAAAACAGGCGCACTGCCAACCACGTGGAAAAGGCAAATCATTCGATATTGGTACGTCGCTGCGGTAGACAAGTATGAAGACACCCGTACCTACTTAAACACGCATGTTGAATGCATGCACACCAACGCACACATCCACACCAACATCTTAGAGTGATAATTCGAGTAACAGAGATGCGTCCGTATCTTTACACGCCGTTTTCCAGCTTTCGTGGCACCCATAGTTGCGATGGGTGTGGCAGTGTGTGAATGCGTTAATCCGTTTTCTTGTTTCTCTACCGTGGTTGCACACCAACATTGAGTGATATGCATTTTTGGCATGATTAGCTGCCTACCTGTTTTACCCTTTTGTGTCTGATTCAGTGTATATCTAGTGTTTTGCCTATGTGACTCTATCCACAAAGACTACGATTTAGTGTGCCTATCTGTGTTTCGACGCTCACCCTCTCGCTTCGCTCCATCATGTGACGAACTTCATTTCTGGTTCCGCCGTCGCGGTGAGTTGTACAGCAATACCATATGCACAGTTTCCACACTCGATTGTGACGCACGAACGGGAATTGGTCATAGCTTTCAAATCAGGAGAGTGATTTTCCTCAGTAGTTGCCCGAAGATGTAGCGTATCTGTGTAAGATGCGGAATATCGCTATGGAGACGCATCTCCAGGTGGAGTCTAGGATAAAAATCAAAAAATATTTTTTCATCGGGAGATGCCAGAGATACGGCGTCTCTGTGGCAGATACAGTTTGCGTCTGATGGATTCCTTATAGCTATGATATTTATATTTGCTTGGAGTGTTGCTACTGTGTATCCCGCATCTCCCGTGACATCGCTGGCATGCCCGATTTGTTGAATATGTGACACTGCTGGTGAAGACAGCATTATGTCATAGATATATCTACAAGACTATCTACAAGCCATTTTATGATTCTAGTGATCATTCATTTTCTTATAGAGACGTTTTTGCTATAGAAAACACTTCTAGATAAGTTAGAATGTACGAATAATATTTTTGTTGGACACGCGTAAGCTTGAAACTTACAGTAGTATCAAATTTGAAACTTGAATTCAATTGAAATTGAAGTTTTCAACTTTCGACTGACTATGATAATTCGTGTGAGTCACAATTCTTCAGAATCCTATTCGTTTAAAAGTTGAAAGTTGAAAATTGCAATTGAATTGAAGTTTCAATCTATGCACAAAACAAGAAATACTATCATCTGTTATTAAAAAAAAATCTTCAATTCTATCTTGAAACACATGGTACGTTAAATTCAAATACTTTGACGATAGATTAAACTATCATTATGAATGATGGACTATCGTCCGTTGAACAGATTCAATAGTTTGAAAACAAACATGTATGACTTTTACATTCTGGAAAATGTTCACGTTTTCTTAGATCTCTGTTTATATCTGATTGTTTTTCCAGCAAAATAATTGTTTTTGACTTCGACAGTTTAATTAAATCGAAAATTTATACTGCGTATTAGAGGAAGTCATACAGTCAAATACGTAAAGTAATCACGTGAGGTAGAGAGACAGAAAACAAATATTAATTAGTATTTACAATATGTTTCATAAAAAAACAATCACCGGTAATGATATTCATACCTTGTATTTTATGTCTTCTCTCGTTGTTGTGCACGATTGATTTAAAAAAAACGAAAATATGAATAATACTTCGCAAATTATTTATTCTATGGAATTGAAGAGATCTATTCAAATGTGTAAGATTATTTGAATAATCTCGAAGCTTTTCACAATTGATGAATGAAATTGTAGTATATTATTAATTATTCGAAAAATGTTATTGCAGTAAATTAGACTATACCAGCAATACTTACATGACTAATGAGTTGTCTAGTGTTTTGCTTAAAAGGTTTTTTGATTAGTTTTATGGAACTGACAAAAAAACTTTAGCATCAGTTCATTTTTCATTATATCCCTAGTCGAACTTTTTTATTCATACTCGTGTCAAGATGTGTCCATAGTTCTTGACTTCCTTGACCAAGAAAGTCAAAAATTGCATGGGCTTGCAAAAAAGTTCGACTAGGTATACAATAGAAACAAAATATCCAAATTTCCTATTTTTTACACTGAAGAATTTAATTAAAAAAATATCGTATAGGAGATCTTATGTTCGTTTTAATTGCAATCTTTTGTCTTTTGTCTTCTGTTACTATGTGATGAATGTTAACGACAGCTAGAGCTCATAAATCAAAAGCATTATAGTGAAACCAACATTTTATTGAGTATGAATATAATTATAATATAGAAAACAAAAACAATATTGCAAAATATATACGATTTCATCAAGAATAATTCACATTATTTGCAAGCCATAAACACAAAGTGTACTTCGTTTCTATTCATTTGTCGTCTCATTTGCCAGGATAAATACGAACAAGTAACTCCAGGCTAAAATTAAACGAATCATGGTTGAAGTCAAACCATCTTTGGATAGGAATCGAGAACATTTGTCTTGGGTACCACGTATGCATGCGGTTGGACCACGACGAGTATGATACAAGTAGTTTGATATGTAATCTAATATTTTTCCATTCAGGTTAAACAATCATTTCATGAAGTCAGCACTTCTACTGTAAGACATGATAATTTGATAAATGGACGCATGTTATCCATTCCACTTGAAGCAATGTCGTTTGAGACAAAACCAGAAGCTAAACCAAGATTATTTAGTTCTCCAGATAATAGTAATAGAAATAAAATCAATAAATTATCATCAATTGGTCCGGAGAATATTTTTTCATTGAATTCTACTGAAATTATCAATCCAACACTAAATGAACAACGAATAAAAAATTCAAATGGATTTCTAAGGTAAGTCATATGGCATTATCATTTAGACAGCATGAATATATTACAACGAGTCAATGTAAGATGAAACTTTTTATTTGAAACATGATAATTTATAGCCTCGCTCGCTGAATTCAGAAGCAAATTATTTACTTTTTTGCTAAAGTGTCCATCGATTGTTCGAAGAATTAAACAAAAAGAAAGAGTAGTGGATAAAGGAGATTACTAATTATTTTATTTCAATAATTACCTTGTAGTCGAGCAACGGCGCTTCTACGACAACGAACCCATATGTGATCTATACTCGTCAACTTAGTAGATTAACATTTTGCTACAATATATAATTATTAGATAGCAAAGGTTATTGCATACTATACAAAGGAAATTAAATTATAAGACATATCTTGAGTATATATTTCCTTTCTGTACATATTTATATATGTTCTTGATATTTTAATCGATAAACTAACGAAAATCAGATACAGAATGTAAAGCTTTGCAATTTACTTTTTTTCTTTTTCGGTATGATGCTGCTTCGGATAAAATGAAATTGCAAACCAACGTGCAAAATACCTAAAAGCCTGTCATTGACAGACTCCTAATCCTAGCATAGGTTTTAAGTCAAGGCATATGATTTCGAGCAATCTAAAATCACGCATTATCAATAAAAGATCAGCAACCACTAGTAGGAAAAAAGAGTGGATTAGTCATTTTTGCAATAGGTTAAAACAATAGAGGCGAGTTTAAATGGCGGCCATATTGAAGACAGAATATTTCAATATGGTTCTTTCTACTTCTTTGTTAATAGTAATTTGACTCAAAAACAAATTTTATACTTAAAACTGACTGCGATTTTTCTACTGATTGCTGCTGTGGGTGTTCTCGTTATTTTTATACCTATCTATGTACTTGTTATTCGCAAAATCATTTCCGTATGTAAGTAAACAATTGTTTTCAGAAAAATTAACCAAAAACATTTCATGATTTTATTACTAGCTTCTTTTACTAATATGACTGCATCGGTTTGTTCTACAACGACATGTATTGGCAAGGAAACACCCTATCATTCTTCTATGGTCACTGCTCTCTATACTTTCGATGGAAATCCTATTGACTGGACAGGATCCGGAACCGGAATACTATTTGGTTCTGTCCTACCGGGATATACAAATCAACCGTATGTTGGTCTTGAGGCAATAAGTTTGTCTTCTACTTCTTTTCAATATGTTCAAATTTCCAATGTTAATTTGGCTCAGAAAAGCTTCACCATAGAAGTTTGGCTGTACATAACGACCGGCTCGCTTACAAGTGACTATGGAATATTTGGCCAATGTGATTCAAATAATAAGTGTATCTGCATCAGCTTAAGAAATGGTCGTTTTATAGTTTCATTTGATTCAATGAATACTAATACGACATTAACTGGCTCAAGCATAATGTTAGTCAATACCTGGATACATTTGGCGGTTGTATATGATGCAACATTGTATCAACAACGAATCTATGTTAATGGTATCATCGATATTGTTTCCAATGGTATCGTTGCTCCCTATCAAGGAAGTACAACAGGCGTAGTAACAACCATTGGACGAACTATATCATCGGCATATGGAACAACTTATTTTAATGGGTAACGTAAGAAATTTCGTTTCTGATTATATATTTATCGATTGAAAAACTAGTTGCACTTCTATAGTGAGAGTATTTAAATCGCGAGAGAAAAACGAGAAGAACACTTCGTTTCGATACGAAGTCACTACGCTTGAATAGGATGATTTCAATATTGAATCGAATTATCAACCTGATCACACACCTGAAAAGAAACGCACAACAATATAGAAGCTAAGATAAATTTAACACATAGGATATCGAAATCATTTAATTATGACAGACTTAAATTGAATTAGAAATTAATTTCTTGCTAGTGTTCATATTGAATTGAGATCTTGTAGCCCTCTTCCTTTGTATTCTAATAAAAATAATGTGTTCCATGAGATATAGTTTTGCTGTTGATTAAAATAATTCTTAAGGAGCGATTAGAATGTATTTTGCTGTTTGCTAATATGAAAATCTTTAAAAATGAAAATAAGAATATCTGAAATTCCCTTTTCTACTTTCTAGACGAATCGACCATTTTACAATATCGGCTGGTGCTGCTCGAAATCCTTGCCAAATTTATAATGATGCAACATTAACAGCTTATTATCCATTCGATACTACCAATACTCTCTATGACTATAGTGTTAATCTGTATAATGGAATGGCATATGAAACAAATACAATCTCACAAGGAGCACTTGGATACGCTCTAACTTTTTCATCTAGTACAAGTTATTTTCAAGCACAATGCTTTACAATGACAAAAGGATCAAATTCATCATATTCATTTTCAATTTGGGTAAACCCATCTGCATCGAGTGGAGGAGGTTCAATAATTCATTTTTCGACTTTACAAAATGGCAATGGAAACTGTTATGATCCTCTTGCTTTCGCAGTAACAGGCGAGTTAGTAGCTCAATCGATGCAAAGCACTACAATCGTTAATAGTTTACTAGGTCCTATTTTGCCAACAAACACATGGACTCATGTAGGCATGGTAATTTCGCCAATGAATGGTATGCGACTCTATGTTAATGGGCAATTGAGTGCATTTACTTCAGGTGCAGGTGGTATAAACATTATTGCATATACTAATCCGGCGTACATAACATTGGCTAATGAAAGTCCATTGGGTCCTTCTGGATCAACGGGATGTAAAAATGGAAGTATACCGATCGTACCAGGATCATTTACGGGTGCTCTCGATGAATTTCGTTTGTATAATCGTGAATTGACCAGTCAAGAAATATGTGTGCTTGCTAATCTTTAAGAAAAAAGTTTTTCTCTTTCACCATGCGATCGTTCTATCATGAGGCAAATTCATTTTTTTTACGTCAAAATCATTTTTCTTTTTAAGAAGCATATTGTTTTCAATTTTAATCGATGTGCTGCGCAAAAACGTTATTTTTCATTATTTGTCAATATCTTTAAGAAATAATGTTTGAAACGTTGGATTTCACACATAAAAAGAATTGAGTATTACTCTAGTTGAGCTTGAATCGCTGTTGATGTATCAATCGATGAAACATACGATGAAATGTAGAAATAAAACTTTTATTGCATCGTGTACTACATTAAGAAAGAGATCCAATCGCATAGTTAAATTCACGTCGGTAGGAATTGTTCGCATGCTAATAAAGATTTTAGAATAGTGTTACTTCAGGAAAAGAGATCTTTATATATGGTAATGTTTACATAAAATTATTGTCAGCGATTTCTTATTTAGATTAAAAGAAAAGTTATTCAAAATTATAACTTTTATTATTACTAATGAAATTTTTCATAAGGTTTCTCCCATTGAAATAGAATGCAAAAGAAAAACTGAATTTAATTGTATGAAAAGAAAGTTTCTAGTAGAAATAAATGTAATGTTCCAGAGTAAAATTGTGTCATGAGTCTATTATTTCAATTATTTAAGAAATCATCGTTGTCATAACGGACACACAACAATATAACTCTATACAGAATCTGAAAGTTAACTAAAAAGTCGATGATATATTATATTTTATCATTTAGTAAGACACATATCGTCTAATGTATACTAAATTAAAATAATTGTTCCTCAAGTCTACACATTGTAGATGTTTACTGTAGCGGAGACTATTACGGATTTTTTAAGTGGGAATCTTTTTCAAAATATGCTTTTAACATAGTATTGAAAATGCTAACGCTTATGGTTTCGCACAGATTTCAAGTGTTTACCCATGTAATAACTTTAAGATTATAGAGATCACATAAATTAATCGTAAAAAATAAAATTCAACACAGTCACAGTAGTGAAATCAGAAGTAATCATTATGGGTTTTGCCTTCTCGCAGTAAAACCAATGTCTTAAGTGAGATGTGGTAGCAGCCGATGTTTTTTAGTTAGATGCACATCTATACTATTTATAGTAAATCATACAGAATTATATGTAATTATTCGTACGAAATAAAATATGTTCTATTTATAAAAAAAAAAAAGAGCTAAAGAACACAATAATTAATCAATGCATGAAGACTTGCATAGATTCCAATGCCATTGAATCAATATTAAGTAAATAGAATAAATTGAAAATAGTACGAGCTGATGAATGTTTGTATGAGCTTTTTTTATTTGCAAATTCAGTCAATACTTCTAACTATGAAAGGAGAAAGTCTGCTTTTATTATGTAGGCGCCGTTAAATAGTTGGAGTTTTTAGGTGTTGATCAATGAGAGCTGATAATTCAACTAGAAATAAGTGTTAATTATCTCTATCTTATATGCTTTTCCCACCATTCTTTTGTCTGTTTTTTTCTGTGCCATGTTTCATATATATTGACCGGTAACATTAATCATAAGAAATCAAATAAGTGTCATGCATTGAAAATTTTTCCTATAAATAGCATAGAATACCGTTAATAATTGATGACAAAATGAAACAGAGAAACAAAGTAATTTATTCAATAACAAAATCCTTGCAATAGAATAGAAGTTTTGCCAATGTTAAAATCGATATAGACAATCAGCAAACATCGAAATAAACAGTTGCTATTCGAAAATAACTAAATATTTTCAAGTGTCAATCTTAACGTAAATGTCATACTTTATGATTAAGTGAATAGTAAATCACATATTTTAATTGCAGAAAAACTATACATGATGTTCTTGATTTCTCGAACTCTTGTTCCACAACACTTCATTGCAGTTCACTTAACTTTGCTGATGAAGTCTATTTGTTATGTATAGTAGTAAAAAAGTACTTTTCGGCAATAATATTAATCGATCAGAGAATCGACATGTTGATAGAGAAAATTTGATATGTAGATCTACTACTATTTTAAGCTGCTTTTCTCGATGTTATCAAAGTATTTATTTTGCTCAATTTCGAACTCATGAGATTTTCCTCATATTCATTCGTAGTGTTTTGAATATCGAACCGTTCAATTTCTATCTCCTAAGAAGAATTGTGATAATACTAAAAAAAAGCATTACAAGTAATGTAGATGATACTCATCATGTGGCGCACTCTTTCTGTGGCGTTAATATATCAAAACTTTGTTGTTTATTTCCTGTTCTTTCTCGTGTTACAGAAAACAAAATTTAATACGAGCATCTTACTATCAAAAAGACGCAAACTTCTATTTACTATCGATCTTTTAAAGTAAATATTTCGATAAATAAACGAGTACGAAACAAATTTATTCTGTTTAATTTATAGTTTCTTAGAATTTGAATGAACAATGAGTTTTAATTTGAATGCAAATCAAGCTGCACAAGGTGCAAATTATGCTGGACGAGCAATGAATGCATTTCAAACAGCTGTTAATATCGATGACCAACAGCCACAAGCTGAAGGAACAACATTTTGGTTCCGTTGGCTTGTTCGAATCGTTGCTGTTGTCACTGGAATTCGTAAGTTGAAGAATACAAACATTTATTTTTGTGTTTTTCATTAATTACCCACTTTTATTTCCTATTAGTTGCAATGATATGTGGCCTTTTTGGTGCATTAAGTATATCACCGTTTTGCATAATCGCTGGTGTCATGATGATGTTCGCATATTTTTTTTTCTCTGAATATGATAGATTTTTATTTTATCATCATATCAATTAGGATCCTTGGCTTTGGAGTAATTATGTTTGAAGTACCGATTTGTTGTCAATTTGTACGATTTACACAACCAGCGGCACAATTTTCTCAACAACGGCCAGCATGGCAAAAGGCAGCACTCTACTCAGTGTTTGTGAAGCACATGAAGATTATACTTATCATACTGAGATTTTTACTATTTTAGGCCACCTCTCATTCCTCTTATGCTATGTCAATCATTAAGTATCGTACTTGGTTTCGTTTGCATACTTGTTAATGGAGCGATACAATTTATGTTAGCTGTTGGCAAAAAGTAATTTTGAAATCGAGAAAAAGACGAAATGATCGATAATTTTCGTAATTGTCTTTCCTTTTCAGAGCACCATTAGAAGAAATGCTTCAACGTGCCGGTGTCGGTGGTATGAATCGTGGACAACCAGTACCTGATGGGCCTCCATTGAATGCTACAGGAAACTCGGGTGAAAAAGGTTTTAATTTTACTCCACTGCCGTAAATCGAACAAATTCAAATGATTTTTCTTTAATGAGAACGTATCCATAAAAGAATATTCCATTTTACCATGATCGTTCATTTATCTATCTTACTATCTGTTTAAATTTATTTGTAAAATCAGATTTAGCCAATATTCTACATATATACATTTGTTATTGTCATCCTTCTTCACCTGTATAACTGGTTATCTTTTGCTTTGATTTAGTTGATCTCATAATTGTTGTTTTGTACGATTGTGATTTTTTGTGTTGTTTTTCTCTTGCTGATTCTCGAATCAAATTTCATATAAAAGCAAACTTCTAAGAGCGAGATTAAGCAAAAACTGATGACTCTTGAACAATTTTGCCTCGATCGAAATGTAAAATTATTTTAAATTTTCCGAAAAAAGAACGAATACATTTGTGATTTTAAACGCTTGTTGACATGTCAAGAAGTGTTTTCAAAATCGAACCAAATAAATATTAACTATTAATCTTATAATTACATTTGACTGATAAATACAGGAAATGATGAATAAATTTTAGCTAAGACAAATCGACTGGTAATTTGTTGAGTAATGAAATTAACGTCACCAATGGATATCGTTACGAATTTTCGATTTGATCCTCCTACGGCTGGTGGTAAGTGTACTATGTATATAGTCTCAAAAGGAAATTTCTCGACACGAGAAGAAATTCTGAGTAAAACATTACAATATTGTTATCAAAACGACAATTGCATTACTGTCTCAATATTCTTAATCCTCTTCGTGGCTTTCAACAGCTTACGGAGAAAAAAAACAAGTGACATGATGTTTTTACGCATCGGACTGTATTCTACAAAAATGAGCACTTTAATATTTAATGAAGAACGTTTATTCCAGTTGCACAGGTTATAAGAAAAAAATATATGAGACACTTTTCTTCGATGGCTTTGTTTCTGTATGGGTTACAGATGCATTTACATTGGGTTTATTTCTAAAAGCTTTTATACATCTATAATAGCATTGTCGGAAACTTTCCAGCAGGAAATCTCAGTAGTAATAAGAATGACAATAATTATCAGATTCGTTCAGACTATACGAGCTACTATTCTTTTTCAATCATTGAGCACATACAAACTACTATGTGAGAAGTATAATAAAATACACATATTGGTAAAGTCATTGTAGTGATTAAATTAGTTAATTATTTGAAAGGAAAAGCGATGGTATTCAAGCGAACCATTTTTCATTAGGCTAATATCCTTCTAGATCATATGAAAAGTGTATTGAGTGGCAGATCATTACAATTCATATGTTCGTTATAGATAAGCACAAAATAGTTTCACATTTATGTATGCTTTTAATGCTTTATTGAAATCATATCAATGTTTTCAACGACAGAATCATGAAAAGAACTGAATAATTGAATAAAATCATCCTAATACATTATTACAACGTCTTTGATTCATTGATCAAATCGATGTTCTTTTTGGTATCCAATAGTTTATATTCAGTTAAATAAATTGCTAACTATTTGGTTCAATTATGATAATGAATAATGCATAGTTTAAAATCCATGGAATTTTCATTTGATGCAACCAACTAAGTTATATTGATTTCACAAACTTCGATCCGCTTCGCTATCAGGTTCATACAAATTTATCATGACAGATAATAAATAAAATAACAGCAAGAAAAAAATAATAACCAACACTATTATCTGTCACAATTCTTCGCTATGTGTCATAGAGTGCAATACTGTCTATGCAGAGAAGGATAAAAAATTTGAAATTCTTTCGTGTAAATATTCAACAATCCTTTATAGTTTTGGAATTTTCATTGAATGGAAAAAACCGGCGAATACTCACAAGAACTACTGATGATATAGTTATGTTAATTCTTTTAAATAGAATTAGATAATGTTCATCACCAAACTCATGCGGCGTGGATTACAACTGAAACTGATGTCATTCCCAAGCGAGCAGAATAACGAATCCTGCTCCTTACAATAATATATAATAGCTAATTAAGTTCTCGATAGATTTGAGATTGTTGAAAGACTTCTGATCAGTCTCGTGAATTAGAAGAAAATTCTATTTTACTCTGTTAATCATAGCGCATGAATATAATTTCTTCCTGGATTAAGTAGCTAACACTTCTACTTTATTATAAATTGTATCTGCTTTCGAAAAACGATTAATTTGATGTTCGTTTATTATATTTATTCTTTTTTTATCTCTCCAATATCAAGTTGTTAATGAATGATGTCAAAGAAGAGAAATAACATCGAAAACAAATAATAATAATTGCCAAACGAAAATAATGTTTATTTCGATTTTTGGCTTGTCGGTGGTGCTGCTGTTTCTGCTGGACCCACTGCTTTTTTCGATTTCATAACCATAGCAACGATACGTTGTTCTTCAATAAGAAAGGCTCGAACAATGCTAAAAAAACATCCATTAAAAAGTTTGCAAGTTAACTTTTTATTTGCATACCGAAGTCGAACACATTTTGCGCATCGTGAACCTCCATATGTACGAGAGACAGTTTTCAAGCGTTTGGTCATTGTCATACGTTCTTTTGGACGCGAGGCTTTGATCTATGTAAATTGAATAATAATAATAATCATAATTATATTATTCTAGAAGATATTTACTCCTGGCAATTCAATTTTACAATCACCACATTTGGGGACTGTTCCTCGTTTTTTAACATATTGATATGTCAATTTACCACCGGGTGTTTTGATACTATTAAATAAATAGAAAGAACAGCGTTTTGTTTTTAATTGTAAACGAAATTTTTCGATCAACATACACTTTAACCCGATTCGATCTTGTATTGTATGATAAACGACGGCGATAAGTTAATCGTTGAGCCATTTTTTCTTTGATGTTCTTATAAATAAACTTCTCTTAAACTGATCTGAAAAACAGAGAAACTTTAGTTTGCTAACACATGAAACAATTTACAAAAAAAAATTAATGAAAACAATAAATAAACAGAAAATTTCTGTGCGTATTCTGATTGGTCGAAAAACAGTACCAAACGATAATGATCGAACCTCGCCCAAAATGCATTTGTATTTTATAAATTCTGTATAGAGGACGTTACTTAGTAATCGATATTCATTAATGGTGTTTTCAAACTGGATAATTTTTTGTTTCTAGAGATAGTTCTTTCAAAATGAATGCACGTTTTCAAGCAAAAAATCCACCAGGTGGCCGATTGACGCCATCAAACCTAAGTTCAACATCAACAGCATCGACTTCAAATTTACCATCATCTCCATCAATATCGTTTAGTAATATTGAATCTGATCCAGTATATCTTGGTAAAATTTAAAATGAATTATTTTCTTGATTTTTATGGTTGTGTTTTTTAAATGATTATTTTAGAGCGTTTAAAAGCACGTGAAATTATATCTGAAGCATTTCTTCAAGTAGTGCGAACAAAGCCTGATGATCCATTTGATTTTCTGTATGGCTAGTAAGTTGAATATAGCAAAAACCATTCCTCAATACATTTCTTAAAATTAACTTTGATAACATAGCTTTGAAAGTCAATGTCAAACAAAACCCTATGAAAAAGCATTAACACGTTTACGTCTTGCTGATCCTAAACATCCATCATTTGAATCTCTACTTGTTGAACTTTATTCTAATTTCAATGCATGTATGTTGCAAAAGCAAAGATACATTTAATAATTATTTTGTTAGATATTTTTCTTTCAGTAAGTGATGATATCTTATTACTCAAAGGTGATGTATATAATAAATTGTTAGAAAGTCTTTGTAACAAGTAAATATATAATTTATGCTAAAAAAAGACATCATTTTCTCTCTCTCTCTGCCTATCTAGTCAAATTTGGTCAGGATCGAAAGATCATCGAGCAACATTACTTTCATTGGTTTGTCTGCGGCCAAATGATTCTGTTCATTTCAATGTATTTAAATATGGTATTCAAGCGATTCTTCTTGCAAAAGGTTAGTACGAGCAAAGGAAAATTCAATATTGCGTGAAGAAAGAACAGCTTCTATGCTAAAAGAACAATAGTTTTATAAGGGATAATTTTAAGGTTGCTTTTATTAGTTTAAGATTGAAAATTATGAAGACGGTGTTGTTGCATTGACATGTTGTGCTTTATGACTTGGTGCTGGTCGCGTTGATTTTTTGCCTTTTCCTGTTGGTAGATTAGGTAGAATTGGTATGTGTTCGATTTCTTCTTCTAAACGTTCAAGTTCAACAGCTGACTTTAAACTTTTATATAATTTCCATTCATCATGATCAGTATGTTCAACGAATTCTAAATTGAAATCAGCATCACTTCTACGTGTACTTTTATGCATTAAATATTGAAGACCATGTTCAGTTAATTTCGATGTTAATGCGTTCATTAATATATCGAGTATATCTGCAAGTTGAGCTTCTTTAGCTAAATCGACAGCTGTCATACCTTCCCAATTATTCAGTAATGGATTGGCCCCATTATCAATAAGACTACGAACAATTCCAGCATGATTAAACATTGTAGCAGCATGCAGACACTAGAATAAGGCGCATGAAAAAAAAATTTATTTCTTATTTTTTAAACTAACCGTTTCTCCATTTCTAAGTAGACCAACATTAGGCTTATATTTAAGTAGTTTATTAACTAATGAATCGAAACCTTTTTGAGATGCTTTAAATAATGGTGTTGCGCCATCTTCACGAGCTAGATCAGCTATATCTTTAAAAGTATCGACCTTGTCAAGAATATAATCAAATATCATTTCATGTCCATGTTGAACAGTAAGAAACAATGGTGAAACACTATCTAAACGTCTAATTAATGTATCACATCGTCCAGTTGATATAAGCATTTGTACGACAGATAAATGTCCATTTTGACATGCCAACATAATTGCTGTTGAACCATCATTCATTCTTGCATTCACATTTGCTTGTGCATCAATTAGCAATTGGACAATGTCTGTAAAGCCACGTTCACATGAAACATGTAATGATGTTGAACCATCGAATGTTGGTAAATCAACAATAGCTTTATATTGTTTTAATAGCAGCTCAACAATACGTGTGTGATTAAATGATGCGGCGAAGTAGAGCGGCGATGCACCTGTAATACGTCGAGCATTCGAATCAGCGCCATTTTTTAAAAGATATTCAGCACATAGATAATGTCCACGTGCGCATGATAGTAATAAAGCTGTTGAATTTTCTCTATCACGACAGTCAACTGGTATATGTAATTTTGTTATAAGTTCTTGTAGTACACTTAGATTACCACTTAAAGCAGCAACATGAAATTTTTGATTTAATGTACGATCAGTTTGATCGGCTAATAATGAATTCTTAGGTGAAGAATGTGAATTTAATTGATTGGTTTTTGATGAAGTACCTAAATAAATTAGATTTATTATTAAATTTTTTGTTTCTTTTAAATTTAATTATCCTTACCATTAATTATGATGCCGTCGAATTCGCTGTCTTCTTCTTCTTCGTGATGATCAGCTTCAGGTATTGCACTAAGAAATTTTGAATCGTCATTCATTGCTGCTGTTGTCAATTGCATTAAAAATTTAATTATCTATGGTATTTTATCAATAAATGGCTAAGAACATAGCAAATATGTCGTTCGGCAGCAACAATGATAACAATACTTGTAGGAAAAGACAATTACAAAAACATAACGATTACTCGCTTTTCCCCCTCTTCTTCGCTTCGATAGAATTGGTTTCTGTATAAAATTCTTTTTCCGCTAATATGCAAAGCTTTCTCAACGGACATACAGAGAAGAAAATGCATAAAAAAGAAGTAAATGGAACAAGGAGAAGCAATACTTTGATGAGACTATTGACGGATATATGGGAATAAATATGGATATGGTCTTTCTCTGTTGTTTTTTTCTCTCTCCTAATATATCATTGCCGTTCGTAGTTTATATATGTGTTGTTCATATTGGCAGCTCTTGTCCTTTTGATACTATCTTTGTTAACATGAAAAGATAGAAACAAGGAAGTCATCGAGAAGACTTGTCTTGCCTTGCAAATAATATGACATGATAGAACATCTTTTATCTTTAGGCTTTTATAATAGAAAGGTCAAATGAGAATTTATATATTTCATAATTTAGAATTCGAAAAATGGACTCAATCATTATACAATTCTATCGCTAATCACTCTGGTTCAAATTCAGACGTTGATCGATCGTTATGTGAAGTTCTTTTACAAATACTTACAGATTCTCTTGGAATAATTAACAAAACACCACATGATGCTTTCAGGTGATTTGCTTATCAAAACAAAAATATAACGAATTTGATATAGTTGTACTATATTGTTCATAAAATAAACAAACCACTAAATTGGAACCTGTCTTGGAGAGTAAATATTCGGAAGTTAATCAATATCTAAAACGATCCTTGTTTGATATCAGTAGATTTCATTCTGATATCAAACCTAATTCTCATCTTAATCATTGATATTATCAATCTATTGAATAGTAGATAAGCCTTAGCGCGAGCTATGAACATACTGAAAAATTGTGCAGAGCAGTCGGTAATTACTGCTGAAATAATGCGTTTTGATCGTATTTTTCAACATAATTCTGTGACCTCTGTCTTCATGAGAAATAGACTTTCAGATTTAAAATTTGAATAGAGAAGTATATCAATGAGAACAGTTTTTATGTGACTAATTTCATTTAAGGTTTTATATCAAAATTCAAGACTGAAGCGTCCTATTGAGGAGTACGTTGTTTCGCTCTCAGAATCCAATGTCTTATCCTTGTATTCGTAGCTTACAACGGTGTAGGTAAACTACAAGATGTTCTCTCTTCCATGCTGATCGTATCCACTGTCGATTAAAAAAACTAACGCAGTGATTGCTCTAGTTGTCGTCAAAGAAAATCTTTTTTATCAATCGAACTGGATTTTTGTTTCTTCTTCATTCTAGTCTTCATGAGGCAGCAGTCAAATTAAGTGCAAATCAAGTTAAACAATCACTCGAACAACTTTGGTCTCAATCACGTTCAACATCCACGTCGAAAAAACGCATAACTTACGAAGAATTTCAAAATCTTGCATTTTCTGTTTATTTAAAAACTGTTAAACAGATTCCCTGAAAAATTGTTTTCATGTTTTTGGAACTTTAGATTTTTGACACTTGTAAATGTATATTGTAGATGTCTGCATTATTCATTAATAATGATGAAAATGACGTTCCATTTGATGATGGTGAATATGAGTATGGTCATGATGATGATGATGCAGATGAGATGAATAATGCACAAGTTCCAATTTATGACGACGATGAAGAAGAAGATGAAGACAGTGAAAATGAAGAACAAATTAATCAAAATAATAGTGCACAACAAAATAAGAGCCGTGGTTCGTATACGGATGAAATGAATTTGATTGATTATGTTATTGAAGAAGAAAAAGAAATTGGTGGTGCTAAAGGTGAAGACAGCGAGTCAACAAGTCGCTCGACAACTTATTCAAGGTATGAAAATAGATCTTTTTATTTAAGAAATTGAATTTTTTATTTAAATATCTATATCTATTATATTAGTTTACTAGGTAATGATCAAGATAGTGACGAAATGATTCTGTCAAATGAAACAAAAACAAATCAAAAGTCAAAACTTAGTACAAAAGAAGAAGGTCAAATAATTCGAGCTCGAGCTTTTCTCAATCGACTTGACACGAAAATTCAAGAAAAAGATGAACTAGTTAAACAAATTCGGTATATGATCTCTTGACTATTTAGTTAATATAGTTAGGTTTCTTTACTTTCATTTCTCTTTAGCGAGTCTATTTATTTAACAAAAGACAAAATAACCAAAATGGAACAAAATAAAATTCGATTAGAAAAAGATCTCGATCAAGCACAAGATCAACAAAATCCGTAAGATCGAAACTATAATTTTGATCTGTTTTTAGAAAATAAACTTAGACGATTACGAAGTTTATTCCTCTGATGTCAAAAAGAAAAAAATACAATTTTTTTTTCTCGTGAAAATTAACTAATGTCGAGTATCGATTTCGTTTTAAATTTATCTTTTCCTATAGAATGCTTTTACTGATATTAATAATATGAAATGACAGGAATATATCGATTAGTGTTTATTTGTTGTCCGTATATTTTTAGTACGACCACCAATAGGCTTACTGGTGAATTAAATCGTCTTGTACGCGAAATGGCTCTTGAACATGATGTTCTCATTGAATTTCAAAGCAAACTTGATGCTGCTGAGTACGAATAAGATGAAAAATTATCTGAACAATGCTATCGTTTCTTAATTCTTAGAATGGATCGTACAAAATCAATTATTGAACGAGCTCGTTATAATGGTGAAGAAGTTGTTCTCAAAGAAAAAGAATCACTATTGACTGAACAAAAACGTTCCTTAGCACAATTACGTCAACGTCAAGAAGATTGGAAAGTCACACAAATGAAACGAGTACATTTATCTGAATTACAGTATGCTTAAGCATTTTCAGGTTGTCTTTTCAAAACAGTTTTTCTCTTAAAACTAGTACTCAAAAACAAGCACTCGAACAACAAGCAGCTGCACAACGATCTGCTATGGATGAAGCACGTCGTAGTAAAAAAATTGCACATAAGTATTTACAACAAACATTTGAAAAGTAAACGATTTTCATGGTTTATTTTTTTCTATTCAATAAATTTTTGATATTTTCATTTAGAATTCGAACTGAAAAACGTAATGAAGAAGAAGCAAGTCGAGCAGATACAGAAAAAAAAATTAAAAGTTTACTTAATTTACGTAATGCTATTGAACGAAATAAAGTATTTATTTTGTTTTAATAGTTTGAATAAGACTATTAAAATCACTAATCTATCGTAGGATACACTATCGATTCAAACAGCCCAAAAACGAGCCCAAGAACGTGATGTACGTGATGCTAAAAAACGTGAGCAAAGATCCATCGAAGACGAAGGACAAAACGGTTTATTTTATATGTTACGTAAACAAAAAAATGAAAAATTAGAAGAAATGCAAAAGCGTTTTGCTGAACAGCAAGATGCAAATCGTTTAGCTATTGTCGATAAAATACTCAAAGAAGAAAATGAAAAAGAAAGAAAACGTAGACTTTATCCTGAATTATATAAATCAACAATGAATAAACCATTGGCAATGCCAACTTCAACTTCAACAATAACAAGACCAAAAGATCTCGCTCCAATTAGTCAGTAGGTTTATTAATGTTAAACTTACTGTCTTTATTTTCCTTTGAATTTTATGTCACCAACGGATCTAACTGATGATATGACATCATCACCACCACTACCCACACAAGTTATTCCAGTATCACAATACGATGCTGATCCTATTGACTATGCATCATCAATGACGTCGACTTATCAACAAGATGAAATTGATGATGGTAACGAATTTTTCAATACGTCACGAAATATTCAGTATACACAACGTAGTTCGGATAGAGACCAATGAATTAGAAGGATTTTCGGGTTGGTTTTCAATAATATTTTATCGATAAGATACAGAAGTGTTTTGATGCTTTGTTATGATGTGCCATTAGAAACGAAAATTGAAAAATAGGAATGGCTGATTCGATACTATAATAAATGAGGAAACATCGGATTCGCATCCGATCGTTACGTGTACTGCAAAAACTGAGTCGGTTTATTTATGTTTTGAAGAATTCTGAGAAAAAAAAATTTTTGAAAAAATCCCTGTACCCCCTTAGGGATGGTCTGGTCAATAATGACAATTTTTTCGATAACTCGGCTATTTCTTGACAGATCCTTCTTATATTCGAACTCAATTGAGATATTGATGAGATCATTTTGTGTACAAAATTTCAAGGCAATTGGATGAGGCTTTCAAGAGTTACCGTGTTAACAGCCGGGCACACACTGGCCGAATCTAGAGTGTACTCACTTTTTGAGTACACAAAAAATCCTAGACCTATGTTCATGAAAAATACTCTCAGCGTTAAAATCAAATAAAGGATTGCATACAATCGACATCCTATTCTTCATTCTCGAAATGAAACAACTTGGTTTGAACGCGAATAAATATAGGATTAAAATTTTAGACATGGACATTGATTTGGCTAAGCCTGAATTCAATGGTCTATGGGATAAACAACCAGTTAAACAAGAAATCGATCCACTTTTTAATCGTTCAAAACATTGGAAAACAAAAATGGATAAAGTAATAGTTTATCGAAAAGAAATTAATGTTTATAAACTATTTTTTTTATTTTCAAAAGGAAATTTTACAACGAACTTTAACTAGATTAAAAGACAACATCGTTCGTGAACAAGTTGTGGGTACGAAACGTTTCGATGGACCTGTTCCGTTTAAAAGTGATCCAACAGAAATTGTTTTTAAAGTTTGTTGCACTATTTATTTGACAAGGAAATTAACAATCTTATTCAAATAGGATTTTGATGTTGATAAAGTTTATCGAACAAGAGTTACATTAACTAATGTAACATTAACAATAAACACACTTAAATTAGTCGATCTATCCGAATCATTAAAAGATTTTATTACACTCAAGTAAATCTGCTTTGAAAAACTTCTTGTCTAATCAAAATGACTTTCTTACTAACTAGATTTGAACCACCAGGAATGATTTCTGCTGGAATGTCTTGTTATCTTCACGTTACTTTTGAGCCCAAGGTACACTCATTTTTGTTCTATTCTGACTAAACATTTTTGTTTTGAAACAAATGTAGATCAATGAAAATCTTCAAGGTGAAATCAAATTCTTAGCTCAAACAGGCATGTTTACTGTTCCAATTCGTTGTGAAATAAAAAAAGTTGAAGTAAATAAACAAAAACAAATCGAGTTGAAACAAATGATATCCATCTTTGTTTTGTTTTAGTTATCATTGGATAAAACAATAGTTAGCCTTGGATCAACAGTTGTTGATGAACATCTTTATCAAAGTATTACACTTCGTAATACAGGTGCTTTAGGTACAAATTATCGTTTGGTTAAAGCAAGCGTCTTACAAACTGAACAGAACAAAGCTCAAGCTGTTGAAAATCCAATTCCAAAACCAAAACCAGAATCAGCATCATCATTAGAAAAAGAAACATCGACTATGTCAGGTTCGATTGCGATTGAATTGTAGAAAATTATTTTTAGCAAGAAAAAAATTCATATTTTAGGTGGAACCGATGGAACCGATATAGCCAATGGAGAATATATTGATGTTTTTACAATAAAGGCGGATCCGATTGGCTTTCTGGCACCTCATTCATCCATGACGTTTTCAATTGAATTCAGTGCGCCTATGGCCGGAGGTTTTCATGAAGAATACACTCTTGTATTTGATAAAAATGTTCCTCAGGTAAAATAGTTTAGACGAAAAAGTTATTAACTCGGATTCTATTTATCTTTTATCTAGTTATATTTTTCTGTCACTGCTCAATCACTCGATGTACCTGTTTGGATAGAAAATCCTTCTATGGACTTTAAAATTTGTATGTTTGATCGTCTATATCAAGATGCACTGATTCTGCGTAATCGAAGTTCAGCGGCACTTCGTGTTTCAGTTGACATTCAACCACGTGCGTTACAAAATCATATTGAAATTGTTCCACGTACAGCTTATATACAAGCAAAATCAAGTTTTAATTTACAAGTTAAATTAACTGCACATCCATCCATTTTTGATGATGGTCTTTCGAATGAAATATTCGATTCACAATTAAACACATTTATTGTGCCACTTGAAGTTAAAGTAGCCGATCAAATACGAACAGTTCCATTTAGTATAAGTGCCATATTGACTACGAGCGATCTACAATTTGATGTTGAACAAATTGATTTTGGATGTTGTACAACAGCAGAAAGTGTTTTAGCAAAAGTTCAATTGAAAAATAATTCACTATTAGCACAACCATTTGGATTTATTAATTTACCTGATGTAAGTTGTCGTTATTATACCAATCTCATATGTTACTCGAAATGAAGTGCGTTGATTATAGAGTAATAAAAAAATCCATAGTTTCATATAAGAAAAATACGAATAAGTAAATCAAATTATTCGAAACTAAATTAAAAAGCACAGTTTGGGATGAGTTTTCACTCGTTGCCATGAAGTATTGATTTCATTTTTATATCACGAGGATATAGGTGAATTGTAATAGAAGTGCTGCTCGATGATGTATATACTTTGTTTGCAAGTAACATCATTTTTTTCATAGCAATTTGACATTAGAAGGCTTCTGTGAGGAGATTTTTATTCATTAGTTCTGCTCACTGAATCTCTTGGCAAGTTTTCTTTTAAATCGAATGATGAAAATATAAAGAGTTGTTTAGCTTTCTCTGAAATACATGATTATTTTAGGATATTTCATATGTGAATAAAAACATACATTTAGTTAAATTTTACTGTTTTGGGAAAGATAACGTATAGAGAAGGACTTGTATCAGCGCATACTAGTTTAATCCGAAACTAGTAATCAAGGAGAAAAAGTCAATTGTGAAGATTATTCTTTGACAGTTCTGTTTACAACGAAAACAATTAGAAGTATAAATGCCTACGTAGAAATTCATTTAAATACATTATTTTAAAGAAAAAGACAACTAATGATATATAATATTTTGCAATGCCATATATATTAATTAATATATTTATTATTATTATTCTCTAGTATATTCACGTACAACCCAATGATGGTTTTGGTACTTTGCTACCCGAAGAAACTATTGATTTACATATTCTATTTAGTCCATCGGCAACAAAAGAATATCGATGTACACTTACATGTAAAACACTAGTGAATCGGTAAGATTTTTTCGATTTATTATTCATTTTTAATAATAAAGAAATTTTTTCCAGTGAATTTACAATAGAATGTCAAGGTGTGGGTGTTTTACCACCACTTTCTCTCTCATCAACAGTCATTAGTTTTCCAGCTACACCTATTAATGATCAAGCCATTGTTAGTTTTTATGTAGAAAATCGACATCTTGATAAAAATCATTTTAAACATCCAGTACCACGTGTTGGAAATAGTAATTTTATTAAAAGAATTTTATCGGATCTGACAAATAGATATTTGATTATTTAATTAGGTGAATTCGCTCCTATTGGTCCGACATCATTTCAATTTGATGTACCAGAAAATGCACCTATAACGATTGCACCTCTTGTTGGTATTGTCGAGCCAGGGAAAGTACGTAGTGTCGACCTTGTCAATTCTATTTCAATATGAATATTTATTATAAAATCTAGAGACAAAAAATAACAGTACGATTAGCACCTAAATTAGATCATGAACAAATTCGTACTGAATCAATTCGCTTGAGAGAAGCAGAATTAAAACGACAGTTAGAAATCAAAGAAAAAGATTCAGCAAATAAAGGCGAAGTAAAATAAAATCTTTCGATCTATTTAATCAATTCATAGTTCATAATTATAGACAAAAGGTAAACCTCCGGGAACAACGGCTTCGGTTGCTCGAAAAAATGATATACACGGGTCGATGGCTGCAGATTCTAATCTATCAAGTATTCCAGAACAGTTCGTAACGCATCTCGGCTGTTTTTCTTATTTGTTCACATAAATATAAAACACTTCTAGATCGATCGATTGGTCCATAGCTCAATTGTCCGTATTAAAAACATTTCCATCATCGATCTCTTCCTTTCTCATTCCATGTTATGTTGGATCGGGTGCATGTGAAAAACCTGGTATATTAGGTTATGAGTAAGAATAGCATTTTAAAAAGTTTTAAAATCGAGTAATGTGATGTTTTTTATTCAAAAAACAGTGTTGCAAATACATTATTTGTTCAAATTCATTGTCCAATTGTAAGACCAGAATTTATTGTGATATCAGATTATGGACAAACAACAATTGATTTTGGTTCGGCATCAGTTGGACAAGAATTATCACGAACTATTCTTATACAAAATATTAGTAATAAAACAATTGAAGTAAGTTCATGCATATTCATTGAAATAAATATGTCAGTTGATTTGATATAGTTATGCAGTGCTCTATTGAATATTTATGGGCCTTTTCGATTAATAAATGCTTTACGAAGAGTTGAACCAGGCGATACATTACCAGTAAAATTAGCTTTTAATCCGAATGCAACAATGGAGGTTTTTATTTTATTAACTTTGATAATGTTTTTATTTATACGTATCCTGTTTTCTTTTACTTCTAAACAGTTTTTAGAAACATTGGAACTAACAAGTGAAAGTTCAAAATTAACCTTATGTTTAAAAGGTAAACTAATTTATAATCGAATTGAACTTGTTTTTTTATTATAGAATCATTTGATTAGGTTTGGGTCTTAAACCTAATGTTCAATTATCATTTGATACAAGCAATCCATTTACAATGGGATGCGTTTTAGCTAAAGATCGTATTGAGAAAACATTTCAAGTAAGATTTAACAATTCAATACATGTTTAGATATTATACGTGAGAGTACCTGATCTATGTGTCTAACAGTCAATATTGTGGTGAATGCAACGAATTGTTTGTCTGTTGTATATCACTGGTTTCTTGTAATTGTGAATTTAATAAGAATAGAGAGAAATAAGTTAAAACGTGTCCATTTAAAATCTCATAGGAGATTTTCGCTGTATGGTTTATATGATTTGTATTTTATGAAGATATTAAAACGAGTGAATCAATTATGTCTTTTTAAATACAATATGAAAAAAATTAGCACAACAATTATATCATGTGATTGTTTTCTAAGTAGTATCATTTCTCTATCGTTTGATTAAAAAAAAAGTAAAGGAAATATATCATGTGATATTCGAGCTTGACGAAACGCACATGTTGTTCATGGCCACATGTTTTTTTTCTTCTTCACAAAATATAATTACTATTTTCCAATTTCCTAATGAAAAAGGTAGTATAATCGTTATTAAACTGCTAAAAATACACTATATCATAAGCATCTATTTTAAGCACCAGAAGAAATAAAAATCTTTCCTCGTTTTAATCGATAGGCATATATTCGTTTAGTTTAAATGGCACGTAAAAACATGATAAGCTTTTTTTGTTATTTTCTAAATTTTTTCTCTTTTCATCAGAATCAACTATCATTATCAGTTTTTCTAAATCTATTATCATCGAACACATGTCAAGCACGAATATTCATGAATCAAACTATCTTGAATACACAACTTGAAGCTAGTTCATATCAAAGACGCAGTACTATTTACTCTAATCATTATCAATTCTGTGCGAAATAGTTAAAGTCACTTAAGTAGAAAGCAACAAAAAAGATTCAGTACTTCATAAACATTAATAAGAAAAATTGTCCGATATCAAAAGGATAAACATTTTGCTTTATTTTCTTCATAGTTCTTTTTACTTAATCTCCCTACGTTTTAAATAGAATTTAAAAGTATGATTGATGCACTATTTAGTGATACGCTCGTATTTATCTTTTCATCTGGCAATGTCGTCTGTTTTGTGATATTTCATAGGTTAATGTTTACTTACCTTTTGTTATCCTTTGCTAACAACGTGTATCTTGAAAAAAAAACGTATTTTACATCGAGGAGAGCTTTTTACGTTTTATAATCTCAAGATATTAATCGAAACCTACCAGTTACATTTTAAAACAAGTCTAACCGATGCTGACTTCAACTTTGTTCATTTTACTCGTATTCACCTATCTACTTTTCTGCCGTTATTTTCGTTTTCGACGTATCAAAGGTGTTATAGAGAAACATAGTAATGTAAAACTCGATTATCGTACAGCTCAAGAAATTTCTCTTCTCTCTGGTTCATACGATATGCCCTATGTGCACGAATTATCGACTGCATTTGGTCTCTTTAGAACCTATGCTATTCCGACTATTTCTGAAGTACTGGTTAAGACTAATCAACTAGCTAACAAAGATGTTGCTGGTCGTCGAGCTGAAGACACAAGTGTACTTTTGTCTGAGTGTATTTATCATGATCTTGATTCTCAGAGAGCAAGAATGGCTCTTGCGCGTATAAATTATTTACATAACTTATATAGATGTAGTATAACAAACGATGATATGTTGTATACGCTGAGTATATTTATCTATGAACCTGCTCGGTGGTCTGAACTCTACGACTGGAGACCCCTTGAACCGATAGAAAAAGAGGCTCGTTATATTTTTTGGAAAGAAATCGGTGAACGAATGGGTATTGAATATATTCCATCGGCATATGAAGAACTCGAAATATGGAAAAATGATTATGAAAAAGAACATATGATCTTTTCAAAAACTAGTAAAATATGTGGAGAAGCTACATTAAACTTAATGACTTCTATTTATCCTGTTTGGATGCAAGGTTTTATTCGTAATGTATTATTATCCATAGTCGATGAACGACTTCGTTTAGCGATGGATTTTGAAAAACCACCAACTTGGATAAAACGATTGACAATAACTATTTTTCGTATTCGAGCTTTTCTTCTACGCCATTGTGCACTTCCACGTATTTATCCGCATGATAATGGTCAAGGCCCAAAATCATGTCCGATGAATGAACATGGAAGATTTAATCGAACAAGCTATATATTTGAACCTTGGTACGTGAAAGAAACATGGTTTAATAAAATAAAGCCATTTGTAGCAAAACGACCAAGTCCTGAGTATAGAAGTCAAGGATTTACAATCGGAGAAGTTGGACCGGAAAAATTCGTTGGTAAAGGTTTGGAAGCAATTCAAAACGATGCAGAACATATGTTACAAAGAGCAATGCTTCCAGTTGATTCATAATTTATTAATTTTAATTTCTATCGACTTCAAGTATTTGCTTATTCGTTAATTGAAGCTAAAAAATAAGAACTTTAATTTTAATTTTCCCCTAGATGTTGATTATAAATAGATAAGATAACAAGTGTGTAATTCAAAAGCAGATATTATAATAAATGAAGATTTCTGCATAGACAAGAAGTTACTTTTTTCTTTAAAGAAATTATCAATGAAATGTTTTCATACTTGATTTTATTCAACCGAGCTGTTCAATCGTTGATGTTATCTTTTTTTCTTCGATAGATTACCAATCAATCGGAAACGCCAGTAACGTTTCAAGTTGACTTGGCAAGTCAGCATGTTAATAATCGATTAGAACAAGAAAATAAAAATGTTTGGGATACTTCGTTTGATTCTAATAAACATTTCATAGGTGAATTAACATTTTACTCGTTAATCTACATGTATATGATTTTTCTTTTGTCAAGGTCCACAAAATTTAAGTGGTCGATCTGTATTCGATATAGCACCACTCGATGGCGTAATACCAGCAGGTGCTAAAAAACAATTAACAGTGTCTTTTAGTCCGGATCATGATTCCGATTTTTTTTCGGATCTTGTTCGTATTACAATTTCTGAACAGGTTTGATTTAGCTAGGAGAAAAATCGTTCAATCGAAAATAACTTTAAATATTTTCTAGCCTATCAAACTTGAATTTCGTTTACGAGGTGCAGGTCGTCAAAATTCAATGTACATACGACCATTAGATAATGGAAATATTATACAAAAATGTCTTTTACCAAATGTAAATGAAATAATAACTACACAGATGCAAACAGCAGGTTTGAAATTAATTTAAATCAAAATTTTTCTGTGCTCATGAAATCTGTTGATATTTTTAGATCCTAATGAAAAAGGAATACCAAATAATATTCTTGTTTTACTCTGTGCACAATCTATTAATGGGAAATATGTAGCTGCTCAACGTGAACTAATTATAGGTTGTGCATCCTTGTCAGTTGGAGCTAAAAAGGTATGTTAAAAATGTGCGTCGAACAGTTGATCCTTATGATTTCATTTCTGTGTGATAGTAGTCCGCATAGGTTGAAGTCAATTCAATTCTTTTAGCATCTTTAGAGGATTCAAGGTCAATATTATTTTTAGGACTTGAACAGGAAAAAGACGGTCATTTTGATCACCTCGAGTCGTTTATTTACTACAAAATGACTTGTCTAGGAGTTGGCCATGATATTTGTTGACTAAGTCGTATGAATTTTATGAGTAGACAAAGAGTTATTTCTTTAGACAGTAACGAAACATCTATTTTTAATATTGATTGAGTTCTATCGAAAAATATCGTAGAGAACTTAGTGACATGTCATTTGGTGGAGAATAAGTCGCTCCCGATCATCAAAATAAGTTTTTATTTTCGTTTTCTATTCACTTGAAAACAAACTGATTTGGAAAATTTATTATATTTTAAATTCTCATTGGACACAATATTTCCTATTGCAATGCGGTTCTGATAAGATAATTCTATTTTAGAATGGTGATTATACATTTGATAATTTGAAAGATATCAATGCAGAAGGTTTTAATGTCGATGTTCCAAAAGTAAATTATTGAATAAACATTTTCTATATTCATTTTGATTGCTCTACTATTTTCAGAGTGCCATTGAAATGGGCACGGAAAAAGTTGTGAAAATCACTTGGACACCAACAGCTGATTTTGATGTAAGACTTCAATCAATTACTTATGTTTTCATTCCAAATTTTTGAACATTTCTATTTTGTCTAGTCAAATGAAACATGCCGAGCAACAATTAATGTTACAACAAAAGGTGATATCGTAAAAATATGGCGTGTTATTTTAGTTGGCTACGTCGAAATAACATCATCAGCTGATAAACGTTCATCGCGTACTTCAAAAAATCCTCGAGTAGTAACGACTGATACGCGTTCACATGCGTCAGTAGATGGTGCTAGTCAACGATTAGCAAAACAAGTGTCTACACAAGAAAATAACCAGAGTACATTGACAACATAATTAATAGAAAAAAAGATGAAGAATGATATGTTTTTTACTATTTATATAGAGTAAAATAAAAGGCGAAAAAGTATAAACGATAAATGTTCACAATAGGAAATTTTTTTTCCCATATGACATATTGATAATAATTATCATCAATAGAACATCATGGAGCTATAAAAGAATGCAATTACGATGCAATACAGAAGCAATTTATTTCTTCTATGGATGCATGTGTTGCACGTGAATGGAACGCTATGGAGCGCTTAAAAAGGGTTCAGAATAAGAAAAATGTTCTAGTGTTACTTATGTCTTCATCAAAGGATCGGAGGAGAGAATGACTAAAAACTAAATGTTTCATTCTGAAGCTTTTTGGAGCAAGATTTTTAGTATTATTGTAAAGATCTTTTTTTCCATCTATGCAGTAATGCACTTCTTAAGTTAATCTTCGCGAGCATAGAAAACAGATTTCATCTAAATTTCTGTTGAACTCATTCGTATCGTATATAAGAATTGTGCATAGATAAACCATTCGCTCAAATATATCTGAACTATGGAAATTGATTTATTTATATTATTTGAAATCAAAGATTAATTTGTTGACGAGACGCTTGGTACACGGTTTAGGAGATATATGTTGCTCAATTACCAACATTTTTTGACATATTCAAAACAGTGTACGACACAATTCAATGCTTAATTGTTTCAGACATTATGCATTCAACTGTAATTAGTTTTATACAGATATTTTGATTGGCAAATTTACGTTATTCCAAAATGAAGAAATTTAAAATAGCAAACCCCTGCCGAACGTATGAAAAAAATATGAGCTTATAATTCCCTCTAGATATAATTCGATGGATATAGAAAACTCTTCAATGTTAGTAAAGGTATAGTGAAATTCTTTGGAGAAATGTCAGCTTCGATTTCTCTTCCATAGAGAAATGTTTAAAATAACATTTTTTTTTTTTATCAGTAGTGAGATTTCTTTTCTACGATCGTTTTACACTGTATTTATGTTCATGCATCAGAGATGAGAAATATTCTCGAAAAACAAAAGTCGTTAATGTTTAATATACTGTTAATAAGTGAAACAAAATATCACACCCTGACATTTATTTTTCTTCTGAGTGGTATATAAAATGACAAAATAATATATGGCACAATGACTACGCAAACAACTTTTGCTGACGAAATATCATTATGATCATCTATTGATTTCATACGTTGTTTTTAATTTTTATCGAAGAACTTTTATGGCAAGATCATATTTTAGTAACTAGTGTCATTTATTTGATGAATAAGCATAATAGCCAAGGGGAAAACGGCGGACTTTTGAATTTGAAGTTACCTTGAGCTACTTTAAGTTACTTTGAAGTACTTTTCAACTTCAAATTCAGCTGAAGCTAGTTGAGGTTACTTTAAGCTGCTGGTGCCTACTCCGGGCTACTTGGGTGGTACTTTGAGCTACTTCAAGTCCGCCGTTTCCGCCTTGACTACAGTCGAGAAGTCATGATGTGAGTGTTTTTTCTCCTCTCGTACTATTTTACTATTTCTTTCGTGATGACTACATAATAAAATTGAGTTACATACAAGTCGAAAGAGATAACAACATTTTCTATCAGCTGACAAAAATATTATCGCTTCAACACTTGTCTATGAAACGCATAGAAGACTTGATATTTTACATTATATGAAAAGTGAACACAGAAGCATTGTGAATGCCAGTGTGTCTGCCCTATAGTATTAATAAAAATAAATTAAATATAACGTGACAGAGGAATAAATCATCGATCTTCTGATAAAAACAGCTTTCTCTTCAGTTCTCTTTCATTAAAGAGAAATAGGAGGCAATATTCGTTCACTTACTGTTATATCAGATATTATATCTTTAATAACATTGCTTAATTTAATGTATAGAGTGAATTATTAGTAGAAGATTGTTTTAAGTGCACAGCATTTATATGTAACTCAACCCTAAGACAAGCCAAGAACTGTATGATATCGTACATTTGAAAAAGAGTAATAGAAACTATCAATCAAAATGACTAAAAATCGAATATCTGCGAATTGAAAAATAACATCGTCTTATTGTCTGCCAATAAATAATATATGTAGACGTTTTATTTGTTATATATATATATATTCATGTATATAGACTTACACATTACATATACTAATAGATAAATAATAGCAAATTGTCCTCTTTCTTTTAAATAAGCAATCGAATAAAAATGTTCTTTTATCATTCTTCACCTTCCGGTTCTTCTTCTTCTTGTTGATGTTGTTCTTCTTCTTCTGCTCCTCCTTCTTCCTCCTTATTTCCCGGTTCATCATCACCGCCGTTATCTCCAGCATCAGCATCAGCTTGATTGCCATCATTTGGTGTTGAATCTGCATCTTGAGGAACAACAGGTTGTTCACTATCGTCACCACTCTCTTTTGCTACTGTCCATAAAGTTTTGTCGCCCTCATTTGTTTCATTTTGTAGAGTAAATCCATTTTGACTGAGAATATCAAGAACACGTTGGGAACTCTCTTGGCAAAGTACACCTTCTGCATGATCAGATAGCAAATCATTTGTCAGACTTTCTTGTAAAATACGAATCTTTGAGATAAAAACAAAAACAATTATTTCATTTAATTTGCCCTATTCAGTAATAAACACAATGTTTTCGCATTTTTTATTATTCAGTACATTTGCAAAGAATTATTATGAGCTCTATGATGATGAAATGGAAAATTCTCGTGGGAAATATTTTTATAATTTAGTTACATGATAGAATAATAGAAGCGCTATCTCGTGTTTTTCTCATTCTGTTTGCTAAATTTTCTGATTGGTCATAACCTAAAACTAAGAAAACACTCGAATCTAAGATTCAAATTTATAGTTCAGTAAAAACTGAACAACAACCTTAAAAGTATTAGAATAAAAAAGAGCAGATCTTCTTTTATTCTTCTTTTCTAAATTTTTCATTTTTAATTCAAGCAACAAATACTCATTTTCTCGATCTGTATTCGAGCATTATTTGTAATACTTACGATTTCTGGTGGGATCTTATAGTCCTGAACACCAGTCGAATGAATAAGTGTTGGACCAGTTTCTATTTTATCGGAATCGCATGATAAAGTCAATTGAAGTGCCATTATTTTAAGTCGATACTTTCAAACGTCTTGTTCGCAAAGAAATAAAAATGCCTGTCTAGTTTTTGGTCGCTTTTCGATAGAATGATATATGAGCAAAATCTATATTTTTTTTTCCAAAGGACGCACGCGTAGCAAGAAAAAACGAGGTCATTATGACACACATCAAAAGCCCGGACTACAAAAAGAAAGGGAGAAAGAGAGAAAGAGAGTTAAAGCAAGCATAGAAAAAAAGAGAAAGAAATATAGAATAAGGCGACATCATAAAAAATAAAACAAAAAAATGGGCGGATAGAAGAATAAAAACATTCACAGACGAAACATTATTATTAATTTTAAAAGAGAATAACTATTAATTGTCATCATCTTCGTTATTATACTGCTTACGAGCATTTGTCGAAGGTAACATACGGAATACATCTAAATAAAAAGAATATTTTCCTGAAAAACCACAATAACATTTTAAAACATACCTTCATGATCACCATTTGGTATTTCAGTATCTTCATCATCATCTTTCTTTCTACGATTTGAAGCGATTGGTTTTTCTTTTCTTGTTGATAGTGATGTTGATGAATAAGCTGCTATTCAATTGGACAAAAACAAAAAAAAATAATGTTATCAATGGAATTTCTCGCTTTCACATACAATCAGGTGACAAATTCGTCTCTCTGGTTGAACTTGATGAAACTAAAGAGCCACCTTTTTCTAGGCGTTCACATAATGTTTGAATGCGTTTTTTCAATTTATTTATATCCATATTTGTGGTTGAATTTCCTATTGTACTCGGCATCGAGCCTAGTTCGGCGCTTTTTGATCGTGCAAGGACAGTGCGTAATGCATAATTTACTGCTGCATCAACAGTTTCTTCCCAACCCTGGACGAAAGAAAAAATAAGAAATTAAAATACTATTATGAAGAAGCAAACTAATTTCTCGGAGCATAAACATTCCTCTTGGGAAATTATTGATATCATATCCGTGAAATAAACTAACCGTTTACTTGAAACTTAAGAGACTTGCCTTATGTTATTGTACGGAGAATGTGTGTCCCAAAAGTAACAAAAAAACCAACTAAAGTTGAATATCACTTAAACGACATAAATAGTTGAAGGACTTTTTTTTGTCCTTTAAAATTTTGCATTGAACATATTTTTTGGTATATGCTGATGTTTAGAAGTGAAGTCAAAACTATTTCAAATCAACAATCAATCGAAGAAGTTTTCCAAAAAAATTCAATATAGAAGAATCAATTATAATTTTCGGTGGAATACTAAAATGTAGAAATCACTTCTATTCTCAATGTAAGTTTCTATATTGAATCGATAGCTATATGTAGAGTAATTAAAAATGAAGTGTACGATACTATCAGAAATATGTCGATAACTGCTTCTGTACGAAAGTATTTTTCCAGTGTCTTTTAGATCACTCTAAAATAAAATTCTATTTTCGCTAGGAACGATTAAACTTCAGATAAATAAATAGAACAACAATATATTGACGTTAAATCTATCGCAAACAATACATTTTATGATAAAATCTTTTGTTATATCCTATTTGGAAAATAGGCTTCAGTTCAAAAGAGCTGGTAAAACTTTTATTGTATTTACATTATTCTTTGTTAATGTCATAGAGTCCTCACACGAGCGGTTTTCGTTTGCGCTTTCATTGGAAGCTATCCTAAATAATAGGAGTTCTCGTTCTTTAAGTAAAGACATTTTATGATTACATAAATAAATGACGATCGCGGCACATGGTTTCTTTTATCTTAGGATGAAATATGAGAATTTAAAGCAGGAACATTACCGCTTGACATGCTATTTTGAAGAAAAGAAAATTAAATATATTGAAAGAGAATCCAAAGAGAATAATTCTTTCCCTAATGACTTGTTCTTTGACCTTTCCTCATTGAATGCAACATTTAAAAAAATATGATTTTATAGAACAGAACATTTTTAACTAGTCGAATGAAATATTACTATTGGATATTTATAAAATAGTCCTAATAGCAGCAGATTTAAGAAAACAAAACAACCCACTTGTTCATTATCATCTGATGTAACCGGTGATAAAATGGCATTTAATAATTGAGCGTTGTCACTTGATAAACTGACACTAATTTTCAACAGAAGACAAATAAGTTTAGTTGCACACGATAAATCATGTGAGCACCGATTTAATTCATAACGACTTTGTTCATATCGATCAGCAAGTGCAAGAATCTAGATTTAGAATAGCAAGATTGTATTGACAACTTTTTCTTTTTCTTTTAAAGTAAATAAAACCTGTTGATTTGTGTTTTCAAGTAAAATATCGAGATTATCAAGTAATGATGGTGTTTTATCTTTAAATTTACTGAGTAGACGTTTCTGTATAGCTCGAAATTGCTTTGAACTTATTTCTAATGTCGAATTAATTTGTTCACATTCAACACGTAATTCATAGTGACGATCAATTATTGAAAAATAATCGTTTAATGGTAATGGATCACCAAATTCAAATTCGATGCTCGATGATGCACTTAAACGTTCAATAAGTAAATTAGAAAACAGCCAAATACTTGCGAGAGAATCACTTTGAAAACGATATTTCTCTAGAGAGAAAATGATCCTTTTTTTTTAATCAGAAAGAAAAGTCAATTGAAATCATACGTGATTTTGATGATGCTAATATTGATACATTTTCCACTGAACCATAGAATCGAACAGTTAATCCTTGCTGTTGATTAGTATCTCCTGTAGAAAGTTCTAAAATAAAAATAGACTTTATTTAAAAAAAAATTACAATTCGAAATTCTTGCAGCTTATAATGACAGTTAGATCGGAGTCGATAGGCTAGATTATGTGATTGATTTATTTTCAATTGGTTTTGTGAAAAACACGAAAAGGTTTTATAATTGGGACTTAGTAGGAAAAATATATCTTTCATATAAGGCATGATTTTCTCGAGAAAATTCAGTCATGAGAAACTGTTGCTAATCCTCAATCTGATACGATAACAATAGTATTCGGTCAAGAATTTAATGACAATTATCCAATTTTATCTAAGAAGAGAAGAACGAAAAATTCTTATTCTAGCTTTCAGTAATTATTTTCCAGGGAACCTTTTTAAATCATAAGTTAGAGTATTCTTACCAGGAAACACTCTGTTTAAATCAGCTACAGGTTTATTAGCGCCCAATGTTATTTTACATTGGTCAGCCGTAGTAGCTGATATTGGTTGTTGATATGAACGTGCAACAAGTTTTATTGGTAATTTGTAAGACTTTTGAATAGTCTGGCAAACATCTAAAGATAGAATAATCGAAGATTTAAAGTTACCATTAATATAAAATAATTTAAAAACAAAAAGAAAAAGAAAACTCAAGCTTCTGATGTTCAATGCCTTTACTTACTATCTGACATCGTATTATATGAAACTGTAAATGTCGCTTCAAGATTCCATGGCGTAAGATCATCCCGCATCCAGAATACGATCGATGCTGTACCAATCGCAGAAATACCTGAAACGGTGAGAAGAGATTTTGAAATTTTGCTTTCAGTATTCTATTAGGTTGCAAACCGCCAATGTGGCCCATTCGAATTTCATTTGGTTGTGCACATAATGGAGTGTGAACATGAACCGTGAGAAGAGTATTTTGTATAGCTTCACTACTTTTCACACGTATATTTACACATAATGATGGTACTGTAGATTCAACATCATGTCTTTGAAATCTTGTTTCATCTGTTGTCTGAAAATTAAAATCTCATCGAATAAAACAATCAAGCAGCTGTTTTCAAAGTGAACGTACCGAAAATTGATTTGTATCATCAATTTGAATAGTAACTTGTGCATTTGATTTTCGTTTTACTACTAAAGCTAAAAGAAGAAAATCATTTATAGAAAAAAAAAAGAAAAACCTCAAAGCAAGCATTTACTTGGATCATTCATGGCTTGTTTTATTTGTTTATTTAATTTTGTTAACTGTTCTTCGGCCTCTTCAACATTAATCATTGTACTAGACATTATTGTTGGAATGGATGTTGAAACAGGATCAGTACCCAAGTAACAACATTGTAATAGACCTGTTTCGCTGAGCGTACAAATCATACCGCGTATATCTCTGAAAATATTTTTTTATCATTTCTATTTTTCTTGCTGTTGATAGACTTACTGAATGGTGGCTACTTCAATTTGAACAGGAACAGAATCAACATGAGCTGCCCAACGAATATGACCATCTTGAGCAATAAATAATGTACGAGAGTGTGTACCGATAATATAGCGAACGCTCGGGTTAGATGCATCAGATTGTGATACTAAAGAGAATAATGAGAAGATGATTATGCTTAGAAAAAATTGACTGAACAGATCATCAATATAGCTTCTCGAATTCAAAAAAAGAAACCTCGATATATAATATTATTACCTTCACTGTTATAAACAACAAATGTACTTGGATTGTATTCAAATTTACTCATAAAAATTAATTGTCCATTATCAGTAAGACAAAATAAATTTCTTTCTCCTAATTTAATGAAATAATTAATATTTATTTGGCACAATGGTTTTTTGCTTTGTTATTACCTAAAACAAGAATGGTTTGTGATGCATTTCTAATGCGTTGCGTCGTTTGTATTCCAAGTGCACATTCACCCAAGTTAAATGACCAGTCTGGTAATACTTTTTTCGATGATTGAGATACAGATAATGATGGATCAATATCTAGACCCTTGCGTCGCGCATCATTATTACTACTTGATCCATGATCGGCACCACTTGCTATCGCTAGTGCCTGATATCTAAAGTATTTTTGTTAGAATTTCTTTTAGTTAACGAACGAAATTACAAATCATTCTACTACAGCAAAGCCACCTTATAATTTCTTAATATAGAGTTTTCGCAAGATTTTGCTCATGGAAATACGAGTCCTATCATTTTGTTTTTCCTATTCTAAACTACAGCTATGGTTAAAATATATGTTTTTGTTTTGAATCATTGGTAGATTTTGTGACGCTCTCAATTCGGAATAGAAACGATCTCAATAACCAATAAATATTATGAACATATTTCGAAGCGATTTTACACTTGAGTACAATCTCTGATAGGAACAGATTGGATAATTTCAACTTACTTATAACATTCAACATGATAATTACTTGAAACAGTAACAATAGCATCTGATCGAGATAAATAACAAATTGGTCCCGGTAAGTAAGTATGCGGAAGTGATTTAATCATGGTTTGTCGTTCATATTCAAATACAAATAAAACACCATCGAGCGTTTGCACACAGATATATTCACAATCCGATGATTCTTTATCTATGAAAATTTATTATTCGATGTAAATTTGGAATCCTCTTCTTCTATATTTCTTACTTCCACGGCCACCACTACCAAATTGTCCTTTACACATATTAAATGTTGGTCGGTTCATATTATGTTCATAATTTAATTCTAAATCAAATTGTCGTCCGTGTTCAGTCACACCAGCTTGTTCTAGAGTACAAAATCAATTCTTGTCCTGTTTGGAATTTTAAAAAAACTTTTACATTACCAATATAATCGTAGATCGAAAGTTTATGAGAGAATAAAACAGCTATTTGATTCATAGGTGAAGAACTAAAAGAACAAAAAGGAAGTTGAATGCAAAACAAAATTTAAAAATTCGATTATATACCTGACAAATTTGCCGATTTCAATTTGTATAATTGGCATACCAAGATTTTTTTCCAAAAGTAAATCCGATGCATAGTTATTACTCATTGAATCGACATGTGAACCACTTGGATTGAATATTCGAAGTATACCTTGATGACTACCGACAATAATTTTATCTAAATAGATAATTAAAATAAAAACAAAGAAAATTTTGTTCACTTTACTATTTGGATTCTCCGTAAATGAACCAACTTTTAAACAGCCATAATCAAATTCTTCTCCCGAGCCAACTTGACAAGACCACCATTCACGTGCTTTAAATAACGACATGTTCTACTTTGTAGAAATTATATTAAGATAATTGTTTTTGTAACATTCCAAAACTATTTGAATTTTCTATATTCATTCAGCATAAAACGCTTAGAACAAAAACCTTATCTGAAAAACAAAAAAAAATCTTGATGTTCTTTGTTTTTTTTCTGTCCTTTTCAAATAGAAGCCATAAATTTTCAATGGCAAGCAAACATAACAAAAAAAAACGAAACTAATTTTCAATTTTATTCTTTATCATTTTCATTTGCGAGAAATTGCCGTTTTTTAGTTGTATTCATAAACGGACGATATTGCCATTCGGTATCACAGGCATCTAATTGATCAATTGTACCTAATTTGATTTGATACACTAACCAAGCGAAGAAAAATAGCATTTATTATTTTGAGAATAGAAAAATTGTTTAATGATACGCTTACATTTCATTTCGAAACGTGGACCGATTTCAGTTAGTTCAATTTGACCTTCGTTTTTCTTGTATACATGATGACTTAAAATATTTAGAAGAAAAAAATTTGCTTTATAATAAAATAAAACGAATTCATTTCGTTTCTCACCGAAATGATATGTAATCATCTTGATTCACGAATGTAATCGTTCTATGACTATCATCTTTTGGCACAGGAAATAAATATTTAAGTACATTCATTGTTCGCTGTCCTAATTTAGATGTCATATTTGAGAATATTAAATGTGGATATTGTTCAGACATTGGTCCAACATCAGGTACATCGTGACGCATAACAACATTGCTTAGCGTAAATGCTGCTGTTGGTCTAATTGATATGAAAATAAATTTCGTTTTTTTTTCTAATACAATATTAAACAATAGGAATGGAAATTTACACTTCTGTAAATCGTAACCATGAGAGTGTCATAGTCCGTGACAAAAATAAACGTGTAAAATGTCAAAGGTAACCTTGGGAACGGTGTGCATGTTTTAGTAACACTTTTTTTTATGAATTATAGACATGTTTTTGAAATATGATCAAAATAAGAAAATCACTGTAGTTTTTTATTGCAATAGTGAAAAAGTTTTTGTTGAAAACATGAGAAAGAAATGAGTGAAGAAAATAAGTAACTTCAAGCGATTTACAAAATCAACTATATAAGTGATACTGAAAGGTTTTTTGTACTTACCCATAAGGAAAATGACTTATTTGAATAACATCTAAATAGAGCAATTGAAAAGAATTCTTAGGAATGAAAAGGAGATTGTAATTAATGATACACACCAGGTACACCTCTTGTTTCTTGAACAAGAATTAGATCTGTTACTTGATTACTACGACAAGCTTCGACTATTTGTCGAGTATTGTAGTTACCACGATTAATACGTTGAGAATTTGGAATTAAACGATTAAGTTCCTAGCATGCGATTGAAAACAAAAATAACTTCTTTTTTTCTAATGAAATTTTATTAGAGTTACTTTTGAAAATTGTTTTAATTTCGAACTAGGATCATGTGATGTTGATATGATGACTTTTGGATCTTCAACACCAGCCCAACGGTATTCGTCATCTTCAGCTGAAAGAATACCTATTGATAAAAAACAATCAACCAAAATTGATAATCGTCTTTTCAATTAAATTAATTCTACCTTCTCCACCGGCATCGTCCCAATCAGTTTGTTGTTGTAATTTTAATGCTTCATCACGAAGATCAGTTGGTATTTTTCTATTTTCTATATAAATACAAAATTAAAAAGAAAACAACAAAATCTATATTATGTCATGCGTAAATCGTATTTTACCATCAATAGCTTGTTTTAGACGATTTTTTTTATCTTCAATTGTTTTTTGTCGTTGTTCGATTGTTTTTCTATAGATGTATTCACGTCTTAAACGTGTCTGTCTTCTCAACATCTAGAATATTTGCTTATTCTTTTATTAAATTCAAGAAAAAGAAAATATTCTTTCACTTTTTATTTTTTTTATTAAAAATACATGGAAAAAATGAAAACAATTAAAACTGTAATTATTCCGGTGGAGGACGTCTTTGACGTTGAGTTCGTCTTTGAATTAATGTTAAATCTTCATTGGTTATTTCATCTACGGTAAAACCACATGCATCGAGCGAATGAAAATGATTATTTAGGGCTTGAATACGTTCTGACCCAAGTTGTTCAAATACTTCACGTAATAAACGCAACGAACGAATTCGATGAAATCTATTTAAACAATCTATTTCATTATCAGCCCATCGTCGATCAACATCTTGGATTTGTGTAAAATACATTGGACAACGTTTTGGATTTGTATCCCATTTATAATTATGATCAAATATACTATTTGTTCCATCGACTGATTTATCACATAGTTCAATTCCTAGTCCGCAAAAGTAACACCAAACTTCAGCACATGTGGGACAGGTCATATGCGTACAAGCATCATCTTTCATACCAGACAGGCCACATTTTGGACATGGAACTTTTTGCCCTCGTTCAACAGCTTGATCAAACAAAGATTTCTCATATGCCAATGATTCACATGTGAAATGTTTTATCATTTCCATTTGTTGAGCTTCAGTAGCAAAATTATTACGAAATCTTGGACAAACTTTTCGACATATTAAACATGATGATTTACGACAGTCGGGACGTTCACAATTGAAAATAGTTGAATCATCTATACTACGTATGACAGCAAAACTACAAAATGGACAATTATCCAAACGTTCGCCTTCGCCGACTAATTCTTTTGCCCAAACTAATACCAACATATGTTGCTGATAAAAGTCAACTTGTCCAGGCGTCAATTGCCTTTCAAACACGCTAGGATTTAACTCAACATGGCATAGAACACAACGTAATGGTAAATAAATTTGTGGATCAGAAAAAAATAAACTAACAATCTGTTTCGAACAATCTGTACAGAAATTATGTCCTTGTACACACTGAATGCCACCATGGTCAGGTTCTAACTCTGCTTCACATGCGCCACATAAAGTTTTCTTCTTATCTCCTTTCGTACTTTCGGTTACTGGACGTGCTGAAGTCGAACTTGTCGTTGACATTTTTTTTACGATAAAAAGAAGCGTATTTGAAAAAATTTAATGTATGCAAAAGTGAAAGAGAAAAGTTTCTTTTATCAATAAATGTGAGTAAAACGGAGAGAAAAAGAAAAAGAAAAAGAACAGTATATCCATTCAAGGAATAAGACACCGAAGATCAAAATAAAAAGAAACGCAAGAAAAGAAAAAAAACCTTGTCTTACTGTTTTTATCCTTTAGTTGTAAATTTCTTTCTTTAAAAGCAAGTAACATGAGTTGTATTTTCGTTCCGTCATTAAGAAATATTACTTTTGGATGATTATAAAAAAAAATTGACTTACCTCGAGTTGCATTATGAATATAACAATCAAAATCATGAGCCCTCTTTTTTTATTATTAGCCGCGACGAATGGCGCTAGTAGAAAAATAAATGTATTATCAATTTTGTTTTCTTCTTCACAGAAAAAGAATGATTATTGAATATGCAGAATACTCGACGGTTTATTATTGCCATACATAGCCACAATACCGTAAGATAATAATGAACCAACAAACGTTCCCGACGTAAGTGCCTAAACAGATTTAAAAGATAGATTTGCTTAATAATTTATTAGGCGGAATAAGCGTAGATTTTTTTTTCTAACGAAAATGCCGCTTTAAAAAATTATAATTCGTGCTTTTAGTGATTAAGTTTTATAAGTCTCGGCTGTCATCAGTAAATATAAGCTATTGTTGATGTAAAGAAAACTAATCAAGAATCTATTCAGTCATCAATAAGTACTTTTTAGGATAATCTCTCTTAGCTGACGTTTTATTCAATATCATTTATAAGGTAATCTGCATCAACACAAAAACTTTTGTTTTTCGTATGTTTTAAATCTTATTTAAACATGTGTTTACTTTTAGCTTGCGTTCTCTGTTTCTAGGACAAGTGTTTCTGTAAATGTATTGCAAAAACATTGATCAGCAGTTTCGTTATCTTATTGGCAGACTTGTTATCTTTTCATTTTATCAGACGTTGCACTTGTTTTCGTGTTTTTATGCACAATTACTACATAAATCATTTTACTTCTCAACTCATTTAAATGATATAACAATTCAGAGCGAAATACATGAAACGATTTTTTTCTCCATATTGCTAACATTTTAAACTGACATGAATGATTTCAATAGAAGAATTTAACACTAGCCGACAGATACTAGGAAAAACGTGTTTGATATGGCTCGGAAATAATTAATCGTTTCGTAATCATCGGTGTTCATTCTCATAATTATGAAAAAAATTTCTTCCAACTATGCCTACGTCACATATTTCGTTAACATTTGTGTCTTCAATGAAATACTCAAAAATTATTTTCGATTCTCTTCACAGGTAAATTTTATTTTGTAAAGATGATTCATCTATACAAAATTTCTAGCATCAACATTTCATCAGCAAAGCCAGTAGTTCTGTTTCATTAAAAAGCTCATCTCCAATGAAAGACATTTCCCTTACAATGGAGGTGTTTATATTGTAAGTTGAAAAGACTAGATGTTTTTACATCAACTGAAAGCTCTCATCGCGAAACTAACAAGTTTAAAATATTAGCTCTCCTTAGCTTGTCTAGAGGAAGATATTCGATTTTTCAGTGAATTTTCTCCACAGGACCAACTTTCCCAGCAATATCATATTTTCGAATTTGGATCTGAAACTTTGTATGCATGAAGGTCTCAATGAGACTAGCTTACAGAAAAAAAATCAGAAGTTTAGGACAAACTCTCTTCGAGATATAGATGCCTCAAGCAAACAGCTTCTATAGAAAAATCTTCAATATTTTGAGAGATTCATATCTCGAAGAGAGTTTGTCCAAAACTTCTGACTTTTGTTTCTATAAGCTAGTCTCATTGAGACCTTCATGCATACAAAGTTTCAGGTTCAAATTCGAAAATATGATATTGCTTGGAAAGCCGGCCCTGTGGAGGAAATTCACTGAAAAATCGAATATCTCCCTCTAGACACGCCAAGGGGAGCTAATATTTTAACGTTGTTAGTTTGGTGGTGAGAGTTTTCATTTGGCCCGAAGATGATCTATCTTTTTACTTATCAATACAAACATCTCCATTGTTAGTAGTAATGTAAATAAACTCACCATCATCATTAGTGCTCCAACAGTACTACTTAATTGTTCATGTACTCTTCTCGGTGCATATATCATATTAATTGAATTACAATATCCATGTGATACAGAGAAAAGTAACACTAATAAAGCATAAATAAAGTCATTTTGAAATAAATATGGAAAACCATTTCTATTCGGAAAATGACAAAAAGCAAATAGAATTATGAACAAAAATCTTGATAAACATATGCAAAATAAAACACGTGGATATAATAATGATGGTATGCGCACTTTTAATGATATCACACGGCCAAATGTATCACCGACATAAAATAGAAGAAATGTCATTATTTGTGCATATAATCGACCATTCCATAATTTATTTGGATAATTTATTGACGGATAAGATGGCTGAATCTTCGATAGATATGCGGGGAAAAGTGATAATGTTGATACAAATGTTAAAAATATTCCACAAAAATTCCATTTCGTGTATTTATACGCAACCAATAAACGTGGACGTATTCCTAGTGATGTTAAACTTGAGAACTGATTATCATTATGATTCGATGATATTGATAATGATTCGTGATATAATGCTTCATATCGATTATTAATTTCTCGTATTGACGATGAATATATTTGAAATAAATGAGATTTTTCAAGAAAATAATATATTATAATATTTGATATTATAACTAATATTGCAATAATAAAATAAATAGCTGCCGATATTGATTCGTTACTTGAAATCAATATTGATACTATTGAAGATATAATTATAAATAGACCACCAAGAGCTTGACCAGAAACAAAACCTTAAATTGGAAAAATAATTTCCATTAGAATTATTTCAGAAAGGCAAACTTGTGCAAGTTTTTGTTTAGTATTCATTCTCGTGTTATAGATAGCACTCACCAGATATTCAGAAGTCTTGCTCAATCCATATTGGCCTAAAATTGCGATTTATATGCTTCATAGAAATATATCTCTAAAGTTTACTGATATCTTGCATTTACTTAGAAGACTTGAGTTCAATATAGAAGAAAAACGTCTTATAGTAAACAGATTTGGAATTATTTTTCGAAGTGCAATTGGATAAGGATCATCTGTGTTGTAAAGTTTATCTTACAAGCACCTAAGTCGCATATATGAGATTTCAATTATTATTATTTTAAAGAGTATCAATGCTTGAGAACAATATGAATTTAATACTGTTCCGAGACACAAACTAAGACTTGGTTTCAAAGTCTCTATTCTACTCTAGATTTTTTGCAACAATAATTAATTATTCTTCCATTTGATTCCGGGAGAAAAATCTAAAAATTTATTCGGAAACAGCGATATAAATTTACTTATCACTAATCTAAGATAAAAGATAAATATATGACTCTAAGAAATTTTCCTGATATGCAAGTTTACACAGGAAGAAATAAATTACAGTTTATTTACCTTGAATATATCGACTCGGTAATGTTGATGCTAATGAAACGAAACAATTAAGTGCAACAGCACTACAAATACTTTGTATCCCAACAAGTATCATTGTTAAAATAAAGAACAATAAACGCCATCGTGTAACATCAACGAATGTAAACGACAAACAAATTATAAGACAGATTATTATAACACTGAAAGATGTATATATTCGACGTTTATGAATATATGGAACAAATAAAAATGTAACTAATATTATCGTTATTAAATTTGTCGACGATGAGCATAATGTAACAATATTTTCATAGGATAATGCAAGAGTCGATATTGAGTCATTGAATTCAGTTGAATCATGTAGTTTATAACGAAAATATGGATCAGCTATAATGAAAAAATGAAATGGTAACGTAACACCAACACCAAGCCAAATGAATGCTAGATAAGACCAAATAGGATGATAGATATTTCCAATAACAGTTATTGCATTGGTTGATATACGAGGATGTTCTATTGAATCCTCCATTTTATCTTAAACATAAGAGAAAAACTCGTTCATTCTTCTTAGTAGCAAAATGAGATTAATATAGAAAGGATTTAACTAAAAACAATTCACAATGAATAACGTAATTAAACTACATGCAGATGTTTAGTGTGTCTCGGTAGATGTATTTTGCTTGTGTTCTTATAAACTACAAATAAATTCAGTTGGTGTGATGTGAATGTTGAAATCATAACATTCATTTAATTCGTTCATACCGATAGGAATAATAAATTGACTTTCAGATAAGACTATATTTTCATTGAATTTATCGAAGTAATCTTTAACGTGTAGAATAATTTCATAACAACCAAGATCATCCATTGTTTGTACTTCAATTAATACATTTTCATTATTCTTCTTAACTATTTCATGTTTGACTAGAGTACGTTTAGTATTGTTATCGTAAATACGCCATAAATCGTATTCAATTTTGTCAGCGAACTGATCATGAGTATCATCGTGAATAGATAAAAGCATTCGTCCCGTCATTTCTTATACTCAACAAAAAAAGAAAAAAAATGAACTATCTAGAATTAAAAAAAAAAGAAAATTAATTCATTAAATATAAGCATTTGATAATTTATACAACATCTATTTCATTCTCTGTCAGCATGCACAAATACAAAAGAAACGAAGAAGAAGAAAAAGTGAGCCCTTGAAATGCACTTATACATGAAATTCAAATAGATATAATTTTTTTTCACAAAGTAAAAACATTTGGATATAATCATCACCAATAAATAATAGATGTTTATCATCGTTTAATTCTTGACGCAATCCAATCTAAGCCCTGATATAAACCTTCACCTGTCAATGCACAACATGCTTGAATATGCCATGCTTGATCTTTTATTGACGTTAAACTTAATTGTTTCGATATTTCAGCTGATGACATTGCATCTTTAATATCTTGTTTATTTGCAAATATTAAAACAGATGCCGAACGTAATTCTTCACTTTGTAACATATGAAATAATTCTTCTTTTGATATTGGCAAACGTTCACGATCAGTACTATCAATAACTAAAATAACATATTCTGTATGAGCATAATATGTTTGCCATGATGAACGTAATGATTCTTGTCCGCCGATATCCATCATTAAAAAATGTATATTTTTAAACACCACTTCTTCAACATTTGAGCCTATTGTTGGCGATGTATGCACGACTTCATTCATTAAGAATTGATAGAGTATCGTTGTTTTACCTTTGATGAAGAAAATAAATAACTTTTTTTTGTCTAGTTTAATCTTACCAGCATTGTCAAGACCAACAATAATTATTTTATGTTCTTCGTTACCTTAATTTATTGACAGTAAATTGATTACATTATGAAAATAGTTTCAACTATTCTTACCAAAAAGGGACCATATTTTAGAAAATAGAAATCCCATAATTTTACAAACTGATTTCTTGCGTTAAATATACATAAGAGATGCTATTGTATTATCGAAAAAACGAACAGAAGTAATATTTGCATCTTAAAATACAAAAATAAAGAGAATAACAACAATGGGATAAAATAAAGATTAAGAACGTGTGTGAATAAGATGTGTCCTTTCAATGTATGACAACATGCAACTAACAGAAGATGAGATGACGACAGTTTTACTTCAAACATTTATTTATAACGACAAATAGTGTGGTATAGGTAAGTAAGTAAGTAAGAAATTCTTCTTTTCTTTGAGTTTCTTTATTGGATATTTCCTAAGGCAATGAGAATACGTTTGTTATCGACAAGAGACTATGACGACATCTAGCATTGGATCAGTATTAAGCTTTTAGTTGCTGGATTAGATAGCTATCGCTCATCATCTAAGATAAAGCTATAAAGTGATTCGATTTTACGAAAAAAAAGGTGCTATGCAAAGACGTATTTTCCAAGTGAATTGGAAAACTCTATTTAATGCTCTGATTGTTCGAATAGAAATACATCGAGCATTGTAACAATGTATAAACATTCCAAACAACTTTTTCTTAATACACAAAGATAGGCCAAAATAATTTCTGTATAATTTATCATTTATTAGTTATGATATAGACCTATTAGAACTTGTCATTCATCATTTAACAATGAAAAAAAAAGCATCATTGATAAAACAACAGACTTACTCTATATGCTTAGATATTGTCTGACATTGAGGTCTATCACACGATATTTCGTCTTGTTTTTGATCATTTTTCAAAATTTTCTAGTTACCGTTTTGATTAATTCTTACAGAATTATTTCTGTAATCGACATGTTTCAAGAGATATTCTTCTCGAACTTTCTCTACGTGCTTTTATGGTAATGGTCTTATTAATTTTGATATTCTCTTAGTACTTCAAAATAATAGAAACCACAATAGACTTTCTAGTGTGCGCATCTACATACTTATGATTAACTATTGATGAAGGTGACAATAGACAATCAATGAGAATTGCGTTGTTCTATTAATTTTTTTCTCTATAAATAGAAAATTCCTCGAGCATTTGATTGATGTACTAACTAACGACAAAGGTTAAGTTACATTGAGAGTATATTGATTAAAGTACTATCATGTTATGCACAAAAAGGCAAATAGAGAATACTATGACTTCTTATGTCTAAATATTTTATAGAGAGACCAAAACATTGTCCTATTGACGTCACTATTTTAGTATGATTGATGCCAAGGAAAAATATTTCAACTGAGTATGACATCTGATAGATGCCGATTATGAATATCTCAGAACAAAGCGATAAATATGCAACAGATCAGTTGATCGATCACTCAGAAGTATTGTGATGCCATTGCATCCTAAAGTCAAAATCATTCAAAGTCTTGTCTCTATCAGCTAGAAGAGATTATATAATTGAAGAATCAAATTAAACAAATACTGAACTATTGTTACGTATATAATCAGTGGTAATGCAGTTTGAATTCTAGAACAATTAAATCTATATTGACATTGAATATTACATAGTGTATTGAACACTGACTAGAAGCTCTCTAGGTAAATCATATGTTGCTTTTATTTTTATTGTAACATACGATTGAAGCTTAAAATGAACAGCAAGACAAATATTGTTGCTCGTCAAATAGAAATTAATGATCTATTACATTTTCAAATAGTTTTCAAAAAATTGTCACCTAGAAATAAAAGGTAATAAATCTTGGTTGTAATATCGAATCTCTATCTTTCGATTGTATAGAACTCAATATGGTGTATAGCAAGTTTAGTATTATGAAACAAAACATACACGTGAGAGACGCGAATCGTTAGTTTTTTTTTAATGAACTATGATTGAAAACGATTCTTACAAATATGTGAGCATCAGAGAGAATGAGGCCGTACTTTGTGACTTTACTCATACTCTAATTATTCACATTTCTTTAAATTCTTTACTATTTCATTGGAAAATAATTAGGGAAAAACTACTCACTAACTCACTGTTTTCTTCGAAAAGAAATGCAGCAAATTCAACTTCAAGTCTAGATTAGAATTTGACTACTATTCGGTTTTCGAGAATTACCTCAGAATTTTTACTCACAACTCATCAAGCATGGTCAAAACGATGTAACATTTACAGCCAGCTTTCTTCAAATCGTTAGAAACATTACAAGATCTTGTAATCTTTTTAAAGACAAGAAAAACTCTGATTCCATTGTAAAATAGACGAAAGACAATTGGTCATAAGTGACATCGAAATTTTACGGGTGGTGATAACCAAAGCTTAAAATTTTTGTGGCAGTTATCGTAATACTGCTTCAAATCAAATTCAAGAATTGGAAGTGACTGTAGTTGAATTTAACGGACAACTATTTCCCAAGGATATTCGAAACTATTGAATATGAATCATTGAGATCATATACGTATAAATGATAAAAAAGAAGATGTTTTAGAAAAGCACCAATTAAAAGGTAATTTAGACTAGATGGTCTTCGAGTTTCAACTGAAAACAGAATGCGATCTGGTTTCCGATTGCACTTTTTTTAAAATATAGGAATCTTTAAAGGATCAAGGTTGTCAAAAATATAGGAGTTTGGATAGACAATGACAAAAGAGAGGACGTTTTATACACTGTTTCTGTTCAATTGTTTTGGTTTTTTTTAATTGTTCTGCTCGAAAATCGTTTTAATAAAGCTGTTATAAATAGGTCAACCGTAGCCAAGATCCTTATAAATGTAATTTTTTTTCTACTGAAATAAATCGCTAATTCGAGGATCATTATAAAAGCTTTTCACAAATCGATAAATAACAATAAAGTAGATCATAATCTTTAAAAAGATAAATACTAGTTCTCATAATTAAAGGAGCCGCTTCAGATTACGGACATGACTTCCCAAAAAATCTCAACCTAATTTTTTTCTCTTGATCATCAGCATTCATCGCTTATTATTTTCCACAGGTTTACTTTGTATTGTATCATAACTCAATTTTTTCTGGTAATAAAGGAGTGTAAATGAAAATGGCATATACACAGGATGGTGCAAAATTTCACGGGCTTTCAGAATATGTCGTTTATTTCTAAAAAAACATGTTCTTTTGGTAAGAATATCCTCAAAATACAGAGTGAAACTTATTTTTTCCAGGGGTATATATATAGCTTTTATATCTAACTAAAAATTCACTAAAAACCCAAAACTGGCACGTGATCACTTTGTGAATGTTTTTTTCTTTCGAACTATTTTGTACTTAGTCTTAAACAAATTCTCAATCAGCCCACTAAATAGGCGAAAGGAAAAATACTATTTAAAACAAATGTCACTATAATACAAGAATTTGTCCAAAACACATGATTATACACATTAAAAGCTTTTTTTTCGTCTAAAGACAATGGCAAAATGAAGAGGTTTTCGGAAATTCTCTACTTTTTTCGATAAAATATAGGAATTATAGGAAATATAGGTCGAATCGCAGCTCAGGTTGGTCCATATGCAATAAATGAGGTTCGAATAACAACACCATCAAGATTGGACTTGGAACGACAGAACGTGTAACCCTCTTTTGAAGAGGTGGAAAGAGCGCTAAACCAAATGAAATCAAGAAAAGCTCCAGGAAGCGATGAAGTGACAGCTGATATTCTAAAAGGTGGTGCTGGTGAGCCAGTGATAAAATGGCTGCACGAAATGTTCACTAATATGTGGGAAAATGAACGGGTGGTGAAGGCATGGGGCTCTGCCACTCGGATTAGGCTATACAAGAACAAAGGAAACAAAAAACTGTGTGACAATTACAGAGATATCTCGTTACTGAGTGTAACTAGCAAAATATTCTCACGTATCATTCTCAACCGTATTCAAAATCCGATCAATGAACAATTATTAGAAATACAATCTGGTTTTTCGATCAAACAAATCAACGATTGATCAAATATTCACATTGAAAATGACTAGGAAAATAAGGAGAGAGTTCAATAGACCTTTCTTCATGTGCTTCATTGATATTGCAAAGGCTTACGACTCAGTCAATCTGGAACTGTTGTGGAGAATATGTCAAAGCTGTGGAATTTCTGAAAAACTGGTCAATATCTGCTACGAATGCTATATAAGGATTCAAAAGCACAAGTAAAAATGAATGGGAAACCATCAGACAGTTTCGACATAGAAACAGGAGTGATGCAAGGTGTAATACCATCTCCAATGCTATTCAATATCCTATTTGGTTTTGCCATTAGAAAAGTTATTGAAGAAGCTAGTGTTGCTGGAGTAAAATTTCCGTACGTCAGTAATGATTTCTTTCACAGAAGTCGTGAAAAATATGAAAACTTTAATGTCTTGGCTCTTCTATATGCAGACGATTTGGTTGCAATGTGTGAAACTACTGATGATCTTGAAAAATTTATAAGATCGTTTGAAAAAATTACACAACAATTTGGCTTAACGATGAGCGTTAAGAAAACATGCATTATGACACTACAACAACTCAAGGAAGACCAGCATGCAACAGCTTTTGAAAGGACAAGAAGTGGACCATGCTGATATCGATATAAACATTCGAAATCAAAAGATTGAAACAGTTGACTCTTTCACATATCTGGGATGCACTATTACCAGAGACCAACGACAAGATACAGAACTAGAAATTCGCCTAGCGAAAGCTGCTAGAGCATTTAATATGCTACGATATTCAATTTGGCATAGAAAATCGGTTTCAATAGTATCAAGACTCCGAATTTTCAGAGTACGTGTACTTCCAGTCTTATTATATGGGATATATATATAAGAGGATTGATGAAAGTTAAGGCGTTAAGTTAAGTTAGAAAGACAGATTAAGGGTAAGGGAATAGATGTCCAGGACCACAGAGATACAAGTATGGCGATTATGGTATGAATTTAATATGCTTGTATAGATTCTGTATAGCAAGTACCGAATATGAAGTTGTCAATGCATTGCAACGGATTAATTAAAAGTAATGCATTAGGAAATGCTGCATTGCAATGTTCATTGTTTCATAAAATCAGCTACATGGGTAATACCGTTTCAACGAACATAAGACGCAGTTTCGTTCTCGAGATGACCGCGACACGAAAAATATGAACTTTGGATGCGTACCCGACGGACTACATGAACGCTTTGCTTTGCAGCGCATTAAAAATTAATTTGTGCAAAGCAATCCCATAGAAATTAAGTTGCAAAAGAATCATAAGCATTCTGTCCTATATTTAACAATATGATAAAGAAATCACACTTAACGAATACTTCTATTTCAATAGGTTCAATTTTTTTCATCAAGAATTATTTTCATACAATATTTAAGTTAAAGTGAGTAAACAATCATTCATTCTTATACAGCTTCTCCGTAAGTATTGAGTATAGTTTTCTTAAAATTGATGTGTAACTATAACTTTTCTAAAAATAACCATGCTTCATTACAGTATGTAAATTATCAAATGATTCAATTAAACGTGAAGATGCAACATGTATTCAATTGAACTCAATTATTACTTAATTGTGCATTAACTTCACATTTCTGTTGGCGATATTGATCTTCGATATGAACACATTTAAACAATCAGACAATGACTATTTAATACTAAGAAGAATCATATGCCGGTTGTGCTGTTAGCAATCATCTTTGAAACAAATAAGTAATTGATATCACATGTACTTTACCCTATATCGCGCACTATCTATATATCTCGAACTAACTAGAATATATGACAGATTGATTGCCCTATCATGACAATAGAGACACTCCGAATTCAAAGTGTTGGCAGAATTGCTTTTGAAAATATTCATACATGGTTAGATTGAGTCTACCATAGTATCCAGAAAAAAGGAGCCTTTTAATTATTAAAAACAACTTTTTCGCGTGATTAATCTTTTATAAGAATCTTAATCCTGAGCATGATTTTTTTTGTTCTTCATAAGTTGTGAATTAGCATGTGAAATTGTTTTTATATTCTATTAAAACTCTAATAGTACATTTTCTAGTTCGCAGTATTACGTTTTTATAAAAAAACAAAAATTGTATGCTAACGTGTACTTGAACAGAAAACTAGTGACTTCAGCCAGAAGGGATCGTCAAAAGTTTGAAAAAACATAGGGACACATTCAACTATCAAATAATATCTTATAACGAGTCAAAGTTATCCTATTTAAGGATTTTCATTACTGAAAAAATCGCGTCTAAAATTGCAGAGATATCATTTCGTAGATAAATGATGTAAAATTTTCCATAATAAGATTTAGATTTCGTGATCTAATGAATATATTTAAAAAGGCCGTATGTTATTCTGTTCTCTTCATTTTTATTTTTGAAATATTATGACTAAAAAAATACAGACATTATAAAGAATTCTACAAGTTTTTGTTGTTGTTGTTGCTGTTGTTGATGATGATGATGTTCTTGCTAAACGGTAGTCATCATTAATTCGAATCGTTTATCATCAACATTACTGTTTATATTATCATCAAAATCAACAGGCATGAAATCATCACTTGTATTCAGTGCTACATAAGTATATTTATTTGTGATTGCACGATTATGAGCGGTATTAACACGTGTTGTCGAATCAATAGATGACGATGAATGTGAAGTTGATGATAAAATTTTCGTAATTGGTTTCGTTTTCGTTGTTGGTATGAAACTTTTGTAATGGTTTGTTGATGAATTATCTTCGTAGAAAGTTTTTTTTCCCGTTGGCAATGAATTAAAATCATGTTTAGTATTTGTTAAAGGAGTTGAACTATTATTGCTAATACTATTTGATTTAATCAATGATAGATTATGCTTTTTTTCTTTAGCAGTTTTATGAATGCAATCAATGAAACACAATACCATTGTTAACACCACAATAAACATAAGAATTGATGAACCAATAAATACTGATAAAATTTGTTTACGTGTAGACAATAAAGATATTGATGAAGAAAATTGGAAAAGAGAAGACGACCGTGAGGATGATGAGATTGAATACGCATTAGCCATTCGTTTACCTTGTTGAAATCCTTCGGTAGGAAGACTCTAGATAAAAGAAACAAAATACTTCGTACAATTGTCTGAACTACATATTAGGTTTCTCCATATAAGAACTATGACTAGAATGTTGTTAGCTAAATTGATTTAATCCTAGAACGACTGCTCACTCATCACGAGCTTTCGTCAATTGCATTATAATCATAATACAGAGTGATTATGCACTATGTGAGTAGACTTTTCAGGTATGCATGAGAACACTAGCGAACTTCCTGGGATTTGAATTCTCTTAAGACTTAATGTCGTGTTTGGATTGATAGTTACTAATCAAAATATGTCCTTTCACGAGTCTGAGAAGGACATTTATTGCAGTATGCTAATAGAATCAGCACAGCATATATAGTTCAGATGAGCGGTAAATACAAAATAGTGACCTATGATTACCAACGTCACGAAAACAGGTCGCATAAACATAATATGCAGTCTTTTTACTTTGTTTTTCTTGTAGGCAAACGTTTGCATGTCTATTAGATCTTTTTTTTATGAATCTAAATCTAAATAGACTCTTAAAGATGATCGTGTGTTGAACTCAAGTATTCCTTAAAATCTATATATTTTTTTCTATGAAAACACAACTTACTAATGATCTGCCGTTGTAATTATTTTTTTTGTCAACAATTACCCAATTAGTTCTATTAGTACCAATAAATAAACGTAGAGTTTCAACGATAAGACATGGTATTGGTTGGCCATGATCTCGTATTTGTACATGTAACAGTACTAACGAATCATCTGCAATCAAATATGAATCAGTTTCAACAATCAATGTACCATTAGGATATAGGTTGATGAATAGCGGTGATGTTTCAGGTGATAATTCAAATGTTATATTTCCATTTGAACCAATGTCAAGATCGAAGGCAACTAAATTTATTAGAAAATATGATTGTGTTACATCGCGATTTATCATAATAAATGATGATTCAATATTTAATTGTGGACAATGATCATTCTCATCAAGTATTTCAATTTCAATAGAAATATTTGTAGATAGAGATGGATTTCCATGATCCGATATAACAAGAGTCAATGCATAGAAGGAAAACATTTCACGATCTACTGAGCCATTTACTGATATTATTATCAATAGCGTTGACTAAAAATTAAGAGAAAAAAAACATATTATATAATCGCTCATTAGAAGAGACATCTTATAGTAATTACCTCAGTAATATTACTTTTGGTTATCATTATTTCAAATGGAATCATATATTTATTTTGAGCATCTATTTTTCCTTCAGGAAACCATTGAGGATGTACACTAATCTCTCCATTGGGTAGATCTTTATCATCATCACGACATGATAACATACCAATGATTGTACCATATTCACTATTTTCCAGTATAGACCACGAAAGATTATTATTATTAATATCACATTCAGGAGGATATTCGTTTTGGCTGATAACTGTAAATGTTATTGTTCCTTGAGATGATAATGACGGTTGTCCTAAAGAAAATATTCGAAAGTATTTCTAATTGAATTTTCAATAGATTAATTTAAAGCGAAACTAACTATTTTTCAGACATGATCCAAAAATAAAAGTGATAATAGGTTCAGTGATCATGATTATAAAAAAATAATGTTTTCATCAGAAAACAATGAAAACTGTGTATGAATATTTTCTCTTGTAGTTCAAGGTGACTAGTCTTTCTTAAAATCCGGTTTTTATATTTATGTTTCTGTAGTAATCATTGATATTTTGCTAGAGTTAGTTTTCTGTGATTACTAACATTCTAAAGTGAGATTTTGAAATTGAAAACTATAAAATGCATTATCTACCTTTATCTTGTGCTTTAACTTGTAAAATATATTTATCGTGTTGTTTTTTGTCGAGTTCTATCAGGGCTCGAATTATTCCTGTATTTGAATCGATGCGAAAAACATTATTTTCATTATTAATTATTGAATAGACAACTTCTCCATTAAGGCCATGATCATAATCCAAAGCATGAAGATGAAATATTTCATAACCATCTTGACTTGTCAATTTAACATGTTCGTTTATAGTTGCTGTCATATTATTTTCTTTAAATGTTGGTATATTATCATTTTCATCTAGGATGATAATATATATGTTTAAATGTGTTGATCTTGAAAATGGCCGACCATGATCATGTGCTTCGAGTGTTAAATTATATTGAGAAACATGTTCGTAATCAAGCAAATTTTTTGTACGTAATTCACCTGTACTTTCTGTTAAACGAATTAATTCAAATGGAATCAACGATAATGGATCAAGTTTCCATGTAACACGTGCATTATCACCAGAATCTCGATCAATTATCGAAAGTGATAATATTAGAGAATTGATTGGTACTGATTCATTTAAGCATATTGTTAATGAATTCATGCCAGTTTGGATATCATGCGAATAAATATCAATTATTGGAGCATTATCATTTTCATCTAATACATGGATTAATACTCTATAATTTAGAAAAGAAATTCATATAGTAGAGCACTACTTAACGTTGTTTTTTCTATCTCGAAGATATTCATAGGCAGTTCTTCCGTCTATCTGGTTGTCTTGACCTATGTATGTTTGTATAACCTAATATTATGATGATAGCTGAATGAAAGTGATAGGAAAAAAATGCATATAAGTCATGTGTACTAAAAATAATATATCTATACAATGCACTTGTTGACTTAATATATTATGTAATATTGATCGAGATCGAGAGTAAACAAAAGAAACAAATATCTATATTTATAGCACTTGTTGTACTATAGTAAGACAATATATTTTTTCGATACCAGATGTATGTGAGAATTATGCGTTTTGAACGATATATTTTGTCAATAAGAATATCAATCAAGCGAGTGCAACCTTAAAATTACTAGGCGTGCTACAATATACTAAAGATAACTCAATTTCGAAACACTTTTCTCTGTGCTGAGACCATAGAAATTGAATTTCACACATCCATAATCAAAATAAGAAAGCAATGTACTTTAAATCAATTTCAAGTCATTATTTTCTCCGTTCAAACTAATGAATAAAAATTAACTATTACTCATCTTCGAGTGATATGCACGTTCTACTACATAATTTGATGCTTATAGATCCTAGCGCGAGGAAAGAATAGGATATCGTTTGACAATACCAGATATCAATGTTAGTGTTTGTCTCAAACAGACTCAATGGTCGTTTTGAATCATTGATCTATCGTGAGTTTTGACAAACACCAGTATAAATAATGTTCTGTCTATATAGAATATCAACACTTGAGAAAGTCTTGCCACTCTTCTCGTTTATATTCATTGGATTATTCAATGATGTCTATTGCATCTTAGTGACTGAATTTGCATCATTTTTCAAACGAAATAAATTACATTTGAATATTTAACACGGCTGAAAAAAATCTTTGTTCAATACATAATCGAAATGAATATATATATGGATGTGAAAACTATATGCAATAGGTAATTTGACTCCTATTCAAATATTCATTCAAAAAAACAGAATATTATTTTCTCTAATCAAATAAAATTCAAGTAAAACTTACGTGCAAAAATCTGTTTTATAACCTTCTCCTTTATCTCTTGCTTCAATTTCTAATCGATGTGTTGTTTGTGTTTCATAATCTAGTAAACATCGAACACGAATATCACCTGTTACTGCATCAACATGAAAACAATTATCTTGACTAATTAAATAATAATTTATTTCTCCATTAACTCCGTCATCATCATCGATTGCATGTACACGACTAATTATCGAATCGATTGATATAGATTCACTTATATTATTTATGATATAAACCAATTGTTCGAATTTTGGTGGTGAATCATTGATATCATCGATTGTAACTAAAACATGTAATATTCCTGTTTGGTTGTCTCCATCTCGAGCAATAATATCAAATGTATATGACGATATTAGTTCTCGATCGAGTACTTGTTCAACGACAAGTGATAGATCACCACGTATTAAATTGTAAAGAAGAGAAAATGGAAGCGCTTTCGATGATATAAGTGAATAACCTTTAAATAAAGCAAAAAAATGAACATTATCAAAAAATTTATTTCTTTGCGAAATCTTATTTGAATGTATTTCATTAAAAAGATATTCTCATAAATGCTAAAAGAAACATACCAATAATACTATTTGGCCCTTGATCATGATCTACAGCTGCTTCTAATTTAATCATAGCGCCCATCGGTGCATTTTCAACAATCGTCAAATTAATTTGATTCTTTAAAAATACTGGCTTATGATCGTTACGATCAATAATACGTATTATTATCAATTCAATATTAAATCCTTCCCTATCAACAATTATTTCAAGTTCCAAATCACACCATGTATCACAACGGCAATAGCGTAAACGACATAATTCATCTCGATCGATTTCTTTACGTATGGTTAATATGCCTTGTGATGAATGATTAATTAAAAAATACATATAAGGAAATTCATCACGTTTAGCCAAACTAAAATCTATAGTTTTAATATCCGATATATTATTCGGAAATAATAAACGTCTAAGATTGATAACTTCGGTGTGTACAGGTAATTTTTCAGTCGAACGAATTATTAAATGATCTTCTTGCTGTTGACAATAACAACAGGAAAGCATTACCAATATTAATAGAATAAAGATGGATGAAGGCATGGCATGATGATAGAAATATATATATATATTGAAAAAAAATTTGATCATGCCATTAGATCGTCATTCTAGAACGGAAAAAAAGTGATGCCGATTTGGCCGTCTTTCTATCCAGAAATAGTCCAGCAGACATGTTTGTTTATCACTTTAATGATTGAGTTACAAACAGGAAAAAGAACTATTGTTTAGAACATGAATATATGCTTCAGGAAATATCTTTTCTTACTAATTCGAAACTGTGGCAAGCTATTCGAGTCAAATGTAATACGAGAATGAGACCATTAAAGCAAGCAATCTAGAGAATGAACTATGTCATGACCATTAAAAAACATCTGATCGTATGCCTTTTGGTATTAAGTATCTGTCACTTGTGTCCATTTTTTTCTTCGTGTGAAAAAAAAACAGAACGATACGAATAAGGTAAAATAACATACGGCAGTAATATATATCTTATGAGCGATGGATATTATAAGATTTTTTCGTGGTAACAATAAAATGACATCTTTCTAATGTATACATTTCTATTTCGATTAAAAAAAACATAGAGAAGGATCAACAACAGTAGTAGTAGTAGTAGATGTTGTTACGATATGTACTATATTTGGCTCAATATGACCTACAAATACCTCCACACTTTTAATCAATTTTTCTTTTTCACACACTTTCTTACTCTCTCTCTCTCTCTCTCTCTCTCCCTCTCTAGCCTTCCTTTCTCTCTATTCATAACACAGGATGCCGATGATGCGAACATCGCTTCTTATATCTTCTTACGTATAATTACATTCAAGACAATCCGTATTACTGCAAAGATTCATTGTCAGTCAAGCAAATTGTCTTGAGGCCTCTTTAGTTGTTCATATCATCAATACATACCATAACATACTATATGTATATTAGACTGCCTCGTGCATAACATACAAAGTGTTTTATGTTTATTCATGCAATACCGTATGTAGGCATGATGATAATAGAACTCATACGATAGCACTTACTACTACTACTACTATTCATTTGTTGAACAAAAAAATCAACTTTCTCTAGTGCTTATAAGAATGATGCTAGAGACTAGCACCTGCCCTTATTTCTTCTTTATGTCTCTTTCTCTCTCTCTCTCTCTCTCTCTCTTTCGTTCATTCTACTAATCAAAGAAACAGAAAGAAAATAAATAAACAAATACTTGGTCGGTCAGTACTGACAGATGTTCATTCGTATGTCGCATGGATGTGATCAATCAAATGGCTGACAGAAAGAAAACCGAGAATTCTGATTTTGTTTGCTTTTCATTATTTTTTTCTTTCCGTTTTTCAATGTTAAAGTGTAATCAAATAAAATGCAAAAAAAAGAAGGACAAGTACGAAGAATCTTTTCTTTTTATCTCTCATCTATTACAGCTGTCATGTCAAAGTAAATGTCCTTGTCAAAATAAAAAAGATATAAAAGATATTTCACATATCTTATCTAAGGAAGAATAATTGAACAATGATGTCATCAGTAATTTTAAAAATTTGACTTACCCCAATAGAAGACTCAACTGGCTGTACATGATTTTCAGCATTTAGTAATTTAGTTGCTTCGAGTTTAAAAAAAGGAAAAAAAGAGGTCAATATGAACAATACGTTGCGCACCTTACTTTCTCTCTCTCTCTCTCTCTCTCTCTCTCTCTCATTCGTTGTTTCATTCTTTCTGGTCACTAGCGCGAGCATCTATAAATAATAATAATCGAAAGACTAGCGTACGAGAGAGAGAGAGAGGGAGGAAAAAAGAAAGAAAGAATGATAGAAATTAAAAATTAATCAATATCATCATGTGGTCATACATGTCGACTGGTTGAATTGAATAAAGTAGTAGTACTTAATGCCTTAGGGACTTTAAATTGTCGTTGAAAGTGAACGACTACGAACTAGCTATATAGTCGTTCTTAGGTATTTCTTTTACGTTTTATTGAGTATTCACATCAATATATAATCATATTGGTTGAACGGAAGAAACAAAAGGTGTGTACGAGAAAGAACATCTTCACATTCTATATGGTACTCATAGTTTTACACGCGATAGAATGATGAAGAGCTCAATTAGAAACTTGCGCACTCTCCTTGGCTCGTTCTATTCTTTTCATGTAGATTCGATTAAAATGTTGTTATATTTGAACCCTTAAAAAAAATGTGTAGATGCCAATTTTATTCTCAAAGATGTGGCAAACAATTTTTCTTTTCTTTTTGCCTCGTCTCATTTTTCTTCTTCTTCTTCTTCTTCTTTTTCTTAACATGATTCACGTACAGATACGCACATTGTAGTTTTTCTCGTGTTATAGCGGCTAATCAAATCAATAGAATAAGAAGAAAAACCTATTTGCATTTAGGACTTATATGATGATAGTTATTTCAATCAAATATGTATATGAGTATAAAACACTATCATAAAAATATGAAATTTACCTGATTACGAAAGAAGTCTGAACCGGAGAGGGGGCAAAAAAAAGGAAAATTCCCATTCATTATGATTGCCGTCTTATTCGTCTAATTTCTTCTGTCTATCTTATACATATGAAATAATCGCTTTTGCTCTATTTGAGTTGTGTCTGTTGTAGATATTCAATCAAGATCACTCTATGTGCGTGCGTGTAAGGGAAGATGACAACTCTATTATTGGTCTCCTATGTTCAGCATTCAGAAACAGAAACATTAATAATGATTATTTTGTAAGCACATGATGATGCAATCGATCGTCTTAACGAGAAGATTACCTCAATGCACGCTCATTGAATATATTCAATAGACAAAACAAAAGCAATATAAAATCTTTCTTTTTCGTATTCTTTCTGCGCACTAGTCACTCTTACTATTCACAATAACTCTTCAAAGTAAGTCATGACGGCTGTCTGTGTTTAATTTGAATGACAAGAAAAAACAACATACTCGATATCATCGATTAGACGTGACCTAAAATAGAAAATAACAAGAAAAAGCAATGAAATTAGAATCAACAACTTCCGTTGGCCACTCCTCCAATCTTCTAAACTGCATAGAATAAGATGAGAAAATTAAATTAATCTTTTTTCTTGCTTGCTATAGCTGCCGGGCGACACAGTTGGAAAAGTTCAATTAATCGTTCCGATTTCCATTTGATTACGGTCTATGTTGTCATCATAAATTGATTTCATTAATGACTATCTAATACATTTGCTACTCTCGACAAAAAAAATAATTCTTTTTATTTTGTTAAGTTTACTCTTCGATGTTTAAACTAGTGTGTCTCAGTCTGTTGTTCATGACATGTATGTCTATGTCTATTCATCACATGTAACAAACAATAAAAATGACAACAGCTGAACACTGCTGTTACATTCAAATATAGCAGTGTAGAGGAGAACCAAAAGGGACGCTAAAGTCAAGTAAAATGACTGCAACCTAAATGTTTATGTTAACAAATCAAAATGCTCTATTCCTACTCACTATATATATATATATATATATATATATATGTATGTAAGCCCTAGAGGCTGATGAAGAAGACCACGAGGATGATGATGATGTTGTTGTTATTGGAGAAGACGATTGAGATAGGATATCACTATTGTTGTTTACGTCAATCTTATTTCTTGTTCGTTGTTATGAAGTAAGAGAGTCGCATGCTTATTCACAATTAGAATAGAAGTGAGAACATGAAGAAGAGAACATAACAATTCCTCGTCTTTTTCTTCTTCTTTTCTTCTCTTTCTCTATCTCTCAATTACAATCGATCTTGATGATGATGATGATGATGATGCAAGCTTTCTCAATTTTATTTCCAGACATGGTCATGGTTCAATGAAAAATCGACAAAGAAATTTCTGTTTTTTTTTCTTCTTCATCAGTCTGTTTCTACTCATCTCGAGAGAGACTCGTCGGGTTCCGCGTACGATATTTTAAATAAGCTGCTCTTCCGTTATCTAGATGTTAATAAAATTTTCAATTGAAACAATCAGTATCATCGTCCTTATTATCACTGACAATATCTCCTGAGGCATATATAAAGTGATAGTAATAACATTGTTAATATCATGAGGCATTTACGTAGGAATATCAAGGACATAAATACGGAGAAGAAAACAATTGATTAGATTTATTCTATAAGACGTTTTCCTTTTGTTTATGTTTGTAAGATCACCAGAACAAGCTATAGGTTAGTTTAACTAATGAGAAATGATAATAAATCGACGAATGATCTTGATCAATGATAGGCGTGGCTTAAATACAGGAAATTTCTTAAGAATAATAAAGAGAACAAGTGTATCTCGTGAACATAGCGTGCAGACATGCTATGAACGGTAGGCATTGTCCTCAAGATGAATTCATTACTAATCATGAGATGACTCTCATTGTTTTCATAAGGTCTAAATTAATTTGAACAAAAAAAGAAAAACTTATTAAAAGCGTTTCAATCATTTTGAAATATTATTTTCTCATACAAAGCAGATTCAATCGATGTTCAATTTAGATTCAGTGATGGTGATGATGATAAAGAAAATGAGTCACCATGAAAAATATCTATCGCTGCCAGACCGTTTAGAATCGAATGGCAACTGTGATGACCTCGACACATTGATTAGTTTTCTTGCTATATAGCTATAGATATATGTTCGCTCTAAAGAATAATGGTAATAAAAGAAAACGAACAAGAAAATGTCAACATGCCAAACTGTTTCGGAACATAATGAATATGACATTATGTTATTCAACTAATGAAAGAAGAAACATAGTGAATCGATGCACAAATAATTTGAATAGAAGCTATTTTAAATAGTTAACCGTAATCATTTTCATTATTGATTTTATGATTTTTGAAAGGATCAATTTTAAAATCATTTACGAAGCTATTTTCTTTCCGATTCAAGTGTTATTCAATCAATTAAAACCTAGTCAACATGAAAACACTTGATAGAAAGTTCTAGGCACTATTAAAGGTTGCAAATGATGCAGAAGATTTAT